AAAAACACTCAATCAAAGGCATTTTATCAAAATAGGCAAGTACTAAATAACGAATTTACAGAAATTGGACCGAAAAAAAAATAAAGTTCAAACTTGTTATGTTGTTTTAGAAGTGACTTTTTTAAGGCATATAATTACCTCGTCAATAAAACGGTTTTCCCTATCCGCTCTACATCAATTCGAAACAATCCGTCACCAGCTTCCTGTGCAAATGCAAATAGTTTTTGCAAATTTACAGCATCGGTGATAAAATTGTATTCGTTGAAATTAATTGGTTTTTCTGCCTTTGATGTCATGTGATGTGCAGTTAATATTGCTGTGTCTAACGAACCTGTTGGAATCTGAAAGATCTCTGATATTAAGATGGTTAAACTGAGTGCGTGCATCATCAAATAATTACTGATATAGTATTATCGGCACTTTCAGTTGAATATGAATTCAACTTTGACCTAAATTTCTTTCATCCTAGATGCCTTCCTGTGCACCTGATGTCAATAACGATAAAACTGGTTTCAAGCTAAAAAATATTTATTTGAACTGCCGAGAAGATACTAATGAAAAATGGAAAAAGTGACTTATAAAAATGAAAAAAAAAACTGAAGTTTTTTAGTTATTGAAAAAAAAGAAGAAAAAAAAACTTTTAAGTGATTGACGTCGTATATAACTACACCGTGATCTTGTTGTAGTTTGCCACCAGCCCAGAAGAAAGATTCTAGAGGCATGCCGGGCATCTAAATAAAAATGAACGAAATTTTATTGGTACTGAGTGATTCATTAGCGGCCTAATTAGATGATGAAATGTAGCATCATTCAAAATAAAATCTGAATTTCTACAAAGATTAAGGAATTTGTGACAAATTCCTATATTTGAAAGATTTGATAAACAAGTCTTTTTATTGTAGCAAGAACTTTTAAACTTATTGCATTTATAATTTGTAAAAAATATGATTTGCTTTAGAAAGAAAAGAAAAATGTGGAGAAGAAATGAAAGTTGTTTCATGAACAGCACGCATGATAAATTTCTAATTGAGTAACAGTGTACTTATATCTTTAAAACGGATTTATTTATTATGAGAAATGATTAAAACTTACAACGATGGTAGGTGTTTCGTCATTCAAATACCATTGATATGAGCCGATTCTTTCGACAAATTTCGTGGATGTCGGTCCGCCCTTTCCAGATAAATTAACAAGCGGTAAAAGACCATATGGCTCCTCTTCCAAACCGTCGAATAACCAAAACCCTTCAGCTGACATCACTTAAAAGGCTTAGGGTTTATTCTCTCGATTTTTGAACGTTGTATCTCACAAGCTAAAATTTTGTCCTTTTTGAATCAATTGAAAAACATTTTATCCAAGGTTCTAATGAATTAGTTTTTGTTTAAAACCAACTTGAAAGTAGACGAAAGTAAGTTAGAACTAAAACTTAAATGGCATTATTTATCCGCACTGTAGATGTACTACATCGTACCTTCTTATTAAATCTCATTTCTCTTTCTTTTCCCCACTTACAGCCAATATCGCACATCTTTTTCTCATTCCAATAGTTTTCTCTCCAAATATCACATCGAAAACTTTCACATTTCCAAACAAGAAAGTACATGACGAATAAGCAGGGCTAACAACTCACAACACTTGATCTAATTTCTAACTTTCCTCATGTTTGAGGAATGTGGAAATTTGGAAATTCTTAAAATGAATGAAAACTTATAACCTCCACCCAAAACTCAAATTCGTGTAAAAATTAAAAATTAGGTTTTTTTTTTCTTCTATTTCTATGCAACATATCAAGAACTCAAAACTTGATTTGAGTTTTTAAATCACTATATATGGTATTCGAAATTCAACTGCTTTAGGATAATCAGTCCCAACCAAAACCACATGATATTTAGGGTATGGTGTAAAAACAGGCAAAAGGTTGAATGTTACAATAATCGATAGCTACCGGAAGCAGTAGTCTTAGGAATAATGCTGTAGCTGATCAAATGTTTACAGCTACGCAGTGACGCCTCCTGCTGACTCCAACTGCGCCTTCTCTCCACTGCTCCTCCACCAGTAAGCAGCTCATCTCGCAGCTGATGGTAGTCAGGATGGTGATGACGATAACGCGTCTACTAATGCTCCTGCTCTAGCCTTTGATGACTGCTATCATATTAATATTTCTAAGTAGCAAATTTATCGACATGAGTATGTTGCATTTGACTAGTTCGGGGGATTTGATGCATTCGTTTACCAGACAAACCAACGATGAGAAGTTCAACTTTGACTTAAACCTGAGTTAGAGTGATGAGAATCGCTTTAACCGCTACTTGCAGAGATGTATTGCATAGTTCTCTTTTAAATCTTACAAGTCTGTGCTAATTACTGACAAGTAGTGCTGTAATAAGTTCACATTTTTCTCCTCACTTTAAAACTTCCTAAAATCAAGCAAATAATCATTGAATGGTATGATTCCCTAGTCAGACATACAAATATTCAGTTGATATCACTTATGGCACGTCATCGAGCATAGTATCAGTTTCCAAACGAAGCTTCATCATAGCTGCTGGCTTCACAAAAGATTGCGTTTTGATTTTGGGAAAAACTTCCAAATTGGAAGACAAAAAGTAACCACTGAAGATAATTTTTTGATTCATTAGAAAAGACAAAAAGTGACATGGATGCAGCGTTGACGCAATAATCAAAATAATACATTACGACATACCGCTATGTATCTCATCCATGTATTTTTAACAATTTCTGAAATCTTACATTTACTGAGTGATCAAGAAGTGAATACATTTTTCGTCTTTCATTTTAGTTGAGCAAGATCACTCCAGTTTCGCAAACTTTCGAATCAAAACAATTCTCCACTCCTATCAATACTGTGATCCTTTTCCATAGAATTTATTTAAGGACCTACTGTAAAATATCATCGAATACTCGACATATTATGCTGAAAAGTGGCTTAATCAGAACGGCTTACTGCGATGTTAATGTAAAATTTTGATTTCCACATGATTTTGGCTTTATCCAATTAATGTCAAACCATCAATGATTACTAACCCAGTTATAAATGGAATGCTCAGTATGTATGATATCATTTTAAATAAAATAAAGACGCTATTTTCAATGATTTGAATATCTACTATAATATGAAATAAGTAGATAATATGCCAGTAAAAGCATAAATTATGGTAACAAACTAGGATTGTCGAAGAATCCCATCTCCATAAGAATCACTTTGTAAAAACAATGATTTATAATTTCTGGAGTTGATTTTTCATTTAATTTATAGTTCCTGAAAATGTTTCAAACTTCTATTTCGACAGTAAGAATTTGAGAGAACTCATTTTTTTTAAAGATTTTCAGGCACTTCTGTGTAGTTTACAAAGATAACTGCACAAATAATTCAAAGTTATACAATTTAGTTCTTTCTGATAAATATTTTCTTCAAAATTGTATTTTAGTGGGTCTTGTTTCAAAAAAATTTTGACTTTTAAATTGCTTTTCGAATTCCTTAGAAAAAAGATGGGTCGTCTTTAACCATCAATGAAATAGTAAGCATAAATTATGGTAACAAACTCAGGTATAAACTCAGATTATACAGTTCAATAGGTAAGTGGTGGGAGCAATGAAATCCGTGTCAAATGCAGTTTCTGTTAAAAGAAAGAATTAACTGCGGATAAATTCAAAATTTACGCATAAACTATGTATAATTATTCTGATGGAAAACAAATGTCATAAGTTTACAAAACTGATATATATGCTATGCCGTCATATTTGAATATAGTAATGTGATGTCGAATTTCTTTCCAATTTTCGAATTTGAGCCTACTTTCACCGACCACTGTTCCATGAAAATTTCAAAAAAGTTGTATGAACATAGTGCTGTAATCATATTAAAAATAATTATATTTTGTTTCCACAAATTTTGATCGTTGTGGTTAACTCACCCCACTGACTTTCATAATGTTATTTACGCAAAACATGATGTAAGGTAGATATTTCAGTTAGTTTAGGAATATATTTCGAAACTGCATTATAAAGCTAACACAGTTGGAATATTTGTAGATGTGCTGAGAATGCGGATAGTAATGAAAGCTGATGGTGAAGTGAAATCTGGAAAAACAGCGCCACTTGTAGTTCCATTTGCTGCTCTACGATCTCCAAAATCATCGAGCTGCATATTGTGGAGTAAGCTTCTGATGAGTCATCTTTCTAGTTTTATTTATTGCAAAAAATCCCTCCACTTATTCTATCTATTATTTTTAATAAGGATACAAAATGATCAAAAAAGAATTACTTGGAAATGTTGCAAACTTGCTAAACTTTTGCATTTTTGAAAAGGGAAACAATTACACTCAAGAATAAATTAACGTAATGAAGGATGTGTTGGATGCCAGCTAAATATTTGGGCAACAATTGAATAAAACTGATTCGGAGGATTGGATGATTTAAAAAACTGATCTAATTGACAATAGTATGGTTATAAAATCTACATTGATGTTAGACAATGATCCAAACAAAGGAGAGGAGGTGCTTGCATGGGCACCAGTTGCTAATAAAGAGCTTATTAGATAACCGCATGATTATGATAGCTAACAAAGAACAATGTAGATATCCTCATGATTGTAAGGATTGCTAACAAAGAACGATGTAAATTGTTTCAATATGTAGAAGCATAAATTTGGAAACAAAGAGTCCGAAGTATAAGCATTATTTGCGGAAATTACGTAGATATCTTTACTACAATTAACGTAAATGAAGCAGATGACAGTCATAATCAATTTGTCCCCTGTGAAGTGTTAAGTGCAAAGTGATTCGTAAGCATCACCTTAATGTTATCATTCTCATCACTACCGATTCATTTGTTCATTTGATAAACAAAGGGAAAAAGTGAAAGGACTCACAGAATAATCGCATGATGAGAGAGTGCCCCTTCTTTCTCTGTACAACTATATGTTATCAACCATCGATCGTTTGATGCTCGGTATAGGGACTCTCAGTAATGGAGGTGCTGCGTGTCTAAGCTTTGACCAGGGCCTTGTCCAAGACCCGGCGAACAATTTTTGGCTGCCTTCCCAGGAGGGAGGGCAAGTTTTGTTTGTGATTGAGAGTAACATCTGACGTTGGTGGTGTGGTGTGGTATGGATTAATTTGGAGGATGATACTTGTTAAGGGTGAACCAGGAGGTAGGGTGCATCACAGCTGGGTGTTGTTGAAGGAAGGGTCTTCGTAACATTTCTGCACTGCTTGATTTAGCTTACTTCTTTTCAAGACATAGAAGCAGAACAAAGTTAGCAAGCATGCAATATTATCAAGAGTAATTATCCGCAGTTTGATTAAAATAAAGAATGAAGTACTACAGGAAATGTTCTACCCAAAGCCGAATTTATCTAAAAATGTCAGTGGCCCTGTCGCACACAGAAGCCTCTAACAAATTCTAAAAATCTCGAAATAACAAAATACTCTGGTAACATCTGCTAATCTACTGCTTGTACAAAAATGAAAAGTTTTTGACCCACCAATTTCAAAGATTTAATCAAAGATAGGTAGTGTTCGAAATTAATAGTATGTACTACAAAATATTGTGTAAAAAAAAATATTGTGTCACTTATTGACCTATACGAAAAATTTTAATCAAAACACTCAAGGTATTTTATTTGCTATTGCTTGACCTTTGTTTACAAAAATGCCCTCTTTGCATTTCATTTTTGTGATGAGGAAATACTTTGAAAATGAATAATCTTTCTGCACTTGGCTGACGTTCTTCTATCTTGAGTGCCGTGGATTCATGAACACGCGTCTTTTTTCGAGTCTTACTAATGCTCCTTGCTTTATTCGATTTCCTGTCCCCATCGTCTCCTAAATAATTCTTTTTATTTCCATTTTCCATTAAGTAAAAAATATTTCAAGCACTGAGTCAGTAGTGTTTCAGATAATCTGTTTGCAAACTTGTGTGTTAAAGTCTATTTTTGAAATGAATATACTGTCAACATTAACAATATGCTACTTAATTTTATCTTGTCTGTAAGTGAATAGAAGTGAAATAAAAGAAAAGAAATATTTCATTTATTGAGCTAACAAAAATCAAATAATATATAATGATTTGAAAATTTTTCGGAGTGATTCATCAAATTCCATTATAGCACACGAATTAGCGAGAGGTGAAACTCTCTAATAATGATTAATGTCACAGCCATGTTATCAGATGCATTTTCCAGTAAGAGTGATATGACTTGTTAGAAAACATATCTGAAGAAATGCTGAAATCGTGCATTTAATAAAATAAATTGAAAACAGCTTTCTATGATTACGTTACTTTCCACATCTCATCGTCTATGTCAATTTGTAACGTTTTGTATGCTTATAAAACTAGGTCAGTACAGCACATAAGGGTATCATTGATCATCGAACACTTCATATAGTTGCACTTTTCTAGGCTCATATTTAACTAAGTTTATGATTTCCGTAATTTGATGATAGTATTTCCTTCAGAATTACGGATAAGAAGGGATACCGAAGAATTAACAGTTTTTTTCGATTTCTCGTATCCGAAATGATTTTTAAGCAATATTACAAAATTGCCGGAATGTGATCTATGTTTGTTTATCTAACATGCTATTTAACAGGATCAACTAGCTGGCCTATTAAATTGCTCGGAGAATGATGAAGATGGGAATTTTGCACAATGAGTTTAGACGGCGATGCGACACTTTGTTTGGTTTCTTGCCAGTGTTGTTTAGATTTCGGATTTGTTTGTCATCAAATGAGTTGTCCGGCAAGGCTAGGGTTTTTGTGTAACGGAATGCATGAGATAAGAGGGTGACTTGGCTGATTTCTGTAGAAGTGGAGGAAAGTTAACTGGGATAAATTGTCTATAACAGACGTTACTATATATGGAAAATATTCAGATGTGGTGGGGATAGAGTGGGATATTTTCATCCATCCCATTACTTGTCATAGTTTTTAGTGGTGATGACAAGTAATGCTGACTTGTCAACAATAGATAAGATGGCTCAAGATGCTTACAATTTGAGCGAAGCGTACCGTTTCAAGGAACAAGCGAATGTTCGATACAGCGAGAAAGATTATGCGTTAGTTGTTTGTTTTTCACATTTTCATTCTGGTGATCCAGTTCTAACTGCAGAACTATTTCAGTAAATCTTTTATGTTGTATCGTTTTGTCGCTAGTGTTTCAGTCTTTTTTTATAAAAAAAATGCTTGGTTTGACCTTTTGCTTTTTTATAAAAATTCTTTAGATTGTTATTTGAAGCCAAACATTTGTAAATTCAGTCCCTCCACGTTATGATGCGTTTGTTTCCATATGCATATGCTCTAACTTTTTATTAATATCCATCTCTAATTTGAGATTTTCAGTAAACATAATGTGGTATTGTTAAACATTCGTAAGTTTCACTCAGTTGCCTCTAATATCCATATGAAAGAAGGCAAAATTTCTGACATTTTTCCAAGGTGTGATTTCAGTGCAGCGATCTACTTATACCATCAGTGCTTACTTCGTGCTCGAGCGATCCAGCAACTTTCACAGTTTGGATTGCAGAGTTGGTATCGACTGTTTGTTTCACCTTTTTTATGGATTACATCAACCTTAATGTTTTCTGAGAAAATAGGGAGGCTGTTGAAGTTCAGTGGATCACTATTTTAAAGGGCTGAGAACTCTTTGTTCTTCCTAAAACTTGCTTTCTTAGCTCCCAAAAATTGTTTAATGATTATAAAGCTGGATGAAATTGTAATTGCATTTATGCTACATTCAGTATTGTTATTTTATTGATTTGTTTAAAATAATCGCTCTTTTTAGGCTTGGCTCGCATGGAGCGAAGTGTAGATGAGTCGGTAACTGATCAGGAAGAAAGTGCAAGCGCGGAAGGAAGCAGTAAAGTTGTTGATATGAAGCATATTGCTGGTGAATCGGCAGTAAGTTCTGTCTATGTTCAGCAATCACAGTAATTTAAAGTAAAATTAACACAGAACTCTCTCTTATCTCATTTTTATAAGGAAAATTATATGAAGTTTATGAAAAATTATATGAAGTTTATGTAAAAAAAATTATATGTAGTTTATCTTAGAATTTTCAGCATTTAATAACATTAGAAGATCTGAAATTTCAAAAATTCGTTTAATTCGTCTAAAATTGGTTGAAAGGTGATAATAATTCTTCTTTGCCAAAATATATGTGTTTTTCATTCATTAACTGATGTTACTTTTCGCTATTTTAATACTGTGAATTAAAAAAAGGTGAAGGATGTCGAAAAATTTGGCGAAAGGCGCAAAAGAATCAGTTCAACAAGTCGCGGTGAAGAAATGAAAACAGAAGCAACTGTTATCGCATTGAAGTGTTACGCTAATTTAGCAGCATGCATTTTGAAGGGACAGAATCGTACTGAATCCGATTTTCTTCGTGCTGTAGAATATTGCGATAAGGTGAATCATGAATGGTGGCGTTAATGTGTACATATACTAATTAGTATTCAGTGTAACCTTTTGACCGAAACAATTTGAGCAATAATTTAAAGTTGAGAACAGAGTTACAGTAAATTCTTATTCCTATGTTTCATACGAACCTGATCTTTTCTTAGGTCTTATCAGTGCAACCTTCGAATGAAAAAGCCTTATACCGTAAGGGATTGGCGCTTTCAAAAGTAAACATGTACGAAAAAGCAATCGCAGTATTGCAAAAATGCAGTTGCAGTAGTATGTTTTTGTATTTATTTGCTTTTTGAATGGTGTTCATGTGTTATACATGGCTTTTTTGCATCGGTATAGTAGAAATAACTCTTTTACTTCACGTTCTCATATAATTATGGCTTTTATTCATTTCCTAACAAAATTTTTTAGAATTCCGGGTTAGAAAATTAAGAGTTTTTTTACTTTAAATGAAACTAGTAGGTGATTATTGACTGAAAAGTAATAACATCCATGAAATCTCGTATCAAATAAAAAACAAGTTTTAATCCTATAATTTTAAGATCGTGAAGCACAAATAATAATTGATGAATGTCAACAATTATTAGAAGAGGAACGACAACGGCGAGATGATCAAATTCGACGTAATTTCTCACGTGCATTTGGAGCTAGAGTAAATGGACATTATTTGTTACAGGTTAGATTTCCTTAATTGATATCTTTGAAACTTCTTATTGTGAATTTCTTGCAATTATTCTTAATAAATCTGTGTTTAAGTGTTATTGTACATTGCAGTTTGAAGAAAAATATGACTTCAAGTTTGTTTAGAATCCTTAGCTTCTGGTAAAAAATTGCATTAAAATCGACTAATATTAGCTTTGCAGTATTATGTCATTTGTTATTTCATTACAGTGCGGCGGAATCATTTTGCACATTTTTTACAATATGTTCAACTTAAAACAAGACCTAGTTGAACGCAGCGCAGTAATTTGATTTCGTACTTCATCACTGCAGGAATATAATGATGGCGTTGTGAATCAGATAATAACAATGAATGGAAGTGCCAATACAAATTCAGGTGGTGAGCATCGCTTGAATCTTCAGTAGCAAAATTAAGCTTTGTATTCAGTTTTGCAGCATTTGAATTATCTATTTTGGATTTTCAAGATGAACTAGTGTTGAGTAAAAATTTCCAGTGACATTGTGCATATATTTATTCGCTGTCTGTATCATGAGTAACTGAGCAAATATGTTTGCTGTTGTTCCATTTTTATTATATGAGAATTTTACATGTTTATAAATAATTTTATGTATGTTGGTTATATGTTTGGAAATTTTTTTAGAATAAAATCCGTGATTGAACGATTATATTCTATATTATCAGTTTTGAAGGTTATTTCCTTTCATCCTTAATTTTTCATGGTTTTATTTATAAATATTCTGAAAAAGATTTCAGTAATCTGCCAATCACGCTGTTATATATTAAATCTGTATTATTTGGGGATTTAGCAAGTGTAGTGTTTGTTGTCATATCTTAAAAATCATTTAACTTTACAATTCTAGTTTAACTTCTACCATTTAACTATTAATTTAACGCTCATGGTTCTTTATGCGATTGAATAAAGTTATAAAACGAAAATGCCAAGTGAAAAATCTCCTTTGTTATTTAAAATTTTTCTAAATATTCGTCCACAAAAAAAAAAATTCCATGTCTTATGGAAGTTGGATAATTTTCATTAGTTTGAATTTAATGTCATGTGTGGTTGCTTGAAGGTGCTGTTGTTGATAGTTTGTATTGATAGCGTTTGCCCCATGGAGTGATTCTGCTGGGAACTTGTTTTATGCTTTTATGAATTTTTAGGATGCTGTTCAATAATGGAACATTTCATGAAGGTATGGAAGTAACAGCTTTTGTTAAATGCATTATTGTTTACTACCAGGACTTATAAGTTACTGAAGTGGCTTAAAGTTTTCGTTATAGTGCAATCAAAAATAGGTGTTGCGATTTTTTTTTTTTCTAATTAAGGGAAGTTTTTAGTAGCTATGTAGGAATAAATGGAATCAGTTTCTGAAATTTTAAGCAAAAATTTAAGCAGTTTCTGAAATTTGAATGAACTATAATTCTTTTGTTTGCGTCTTAGATATTATTGTGGCTTCCTTCATGTTTACATGCTTCGCGTATTAAAAGACCTCAGCGGTTGTGAAGATTCATTATTAAATGAAGTTGGTGTAGCGAGTGCAGGATGGTAAAACGCAAGAAGTCCAAAGGGGTAAGTTTGGAATTTCTTGGATGCTGAGGCTGGAAAATTCAGTAGGTTTGGAATTTCTGCACTAATGTATTGTGTTTCTTGTCAGGAATCAGTATCTCTTGATGGTTATGAATTCAACATAGCAAAGTTACTTTTCAAATTTTCAAAATTTTTGACGCCACAGATTGGAAGCGTCGTCACTTTTCGTGTCGGAGGTGTCCAAGATGCAGTTGTCATCGTTTTACCAACCAACAGAAACTGTACAATAAGCTAATTAGAGTTTTAATTACTCAATATTTTAAAGTAAAAGAAATCGGATAAGTAATGTGACAGTAAATTAAAAAGACAGGAAATAGCTCAGAGAAAAGGAAATGAGAGATAATTTCGAAAACAAGTAGAAGGATTTAGATTTAAAAAGAAATGCTCCAATTAACAGACATAAAATAAGACCAGGAAAAAAAAATGTGAAGCACTAAAAGAAACTTAATCTTACCTACTTAATGCCATTTTTATTTTGCTCCTCCTTGAATTTCAATATCTGGATATTTCGTCCAAAGATACCCAAATAGGTAAAATCAGCCTAACCTCGATTTTGTCGAAACTGCATCACTGCTTCGAGTCTATTTGAGCTGTCTTGTTTATAACTGGATTGGCTTTGTTTAGTGTAAAATAACAACTGATAGCATTATGTAATGCTATGTCTATTAACTTAGCTAAACTTGAAAAAACGAACAGGAACAGAAATCATTGTAGAAGAAAAGCAAAAGAGAGAGCACAGTGGAGGAACTAGTGACGATGGCCACGGTAGAAGATGATGAAGGAGTGGTTATACCGACAAGACCGAAGAAAAAATCAGGCTCTGATCAAGCACTGGAAAAATTTGCGCTTGCTACTGTTGCTAAAAGTACTATTTGTCCGGTAAAAGTAATGAATGGCAATTAAGAAATAATACTCATTTTTTCAATCTCCTTTATTCTAACAAAATAGAAATCTTAAGTTTTAGACAAATGCACCATCCCTAATGATTCGTGATATCGCAGAATAACGAGTTAATTAAATGATGTGGTTATAGTCCAGCATAAGGTGGAGGTTTTAAAATCTCATTCATGATGCACTTAACTTTTGAAATGTCATGCGATGCTAAGGACCTCTATTTCGTGATATAGAGCAACAGAAAAACTTTTCAATTACCAAAATTGGAAGTTTCTTATTTCCTCTTGTCACTTGATTAAAGGACAGCAAGAAAACTGAAGGAGTAATACTTGATAGGCTCACACTTATTCTGCTATGTAATTGATAAATTTATTAAAAGCTTTCATAGTTTTTGTCGAAAAGGGGTTCTGTTTCTTCAAGAAATAGACGGTTTGCGAGCAGAGTTTGCAACATTGAAAACATTTGTGCCGACAGCAACTTCACAAGCAGCATTTGATCGGAATAAGGATTGCAACCGATACAACAATATTATTTGCTATGATCACACAAGAGTTGTACTAAAGTAATTTGATTACCATTTACGTTAATAATTCGTGCTTTTCTGCATTTAATATATATCTCGCAAACGCAAACAGCAAGTGCATAAGAAAGGAGTATACCTTAAATTAATTACTGGAGAACATGTCTTTCCACAGATTCAATGTGCCTCCAGATAGGGATTATATTCATGCTAATTATGTTCGGACATCACTCTGCAATCTTCCCAACAATTTTATTTGTACACAGGTGTGAACAGCTTTCTTATGAACTATTTTTATCATGTTAGCTGAACTTTCCTGTTATAGAAATGATCCTAAATATACATAATAATATATCATATTAGCGTGTCTGACATTGATTATATGATTTATGCATAATGTCGTTGCACCTTGCCACCATGAAGCTAGAAGTATTAAAGGGCCCAATGGATTCGACAGTGAATGATTTTTGGCGGTTGGTGTGGCAAGAGAAACCAAAAACTATCGTTATGTTGTGTAAAGTGATAGAATGCGGTAAGCAAAAATGCTCCCAATATTTTCCATTGAATCAGGGTGAAACAAAGCAATACGGAAAGATTATTGTAAAAAACGTCCGGAAAACTTCATCACCTTCAGAAAAGGTTTAATGATTTCAATTTCTACCTTATTTTCTGGAATTTATTAAAATTCGTAAAGCAGAACTATTTTCTACTGGACCATTTTTATTGTGAAGTTATCAAAAAACTTGTTACATCTTTATTAAAATTCAAATAAACATTCAAGATTTTTGTTCTGGAAATATTATTGGAGAAATCCTCAGGTTTTTGAAGCAATTCAAATGAACATCAACGTGAAGGGAAATCCAGCAATTGTATTAACCCTATTTAAATGGTTAGACTGGCCAGGTAAGTGAACAATTTAATTTATTTGAATTTTATATAAAATTTCGTTCTTTGCAACTTTGCATGCAGCTAGCATTTCCGGAACCCTGTTTTTTCTGCTAATTTGAAAATAATTTTTACAAAAAAAGCGTTACGGAAACAAACTGTCACACTATAATTCCTGATCTTTTAACTATTCTGAATCCTTAAAGTGCTGAATTTATGAAATATGAATAGTCTCGACGAATTTTTTGGAATCACTTTTTATAAACAGCAATTTGTCTTCCGATGTTTCTACAAGGAAAAGAGTAATTTCAGACTTTGGAGTGCCAACATCTGGAATGGGAATGTTGCGAATCCTGCGACAAATTCGAGATCAACCTCGAAGCACAGCAATTATTCATTGTTCGGCAGGTGTCGGAAGATCGGGGACAATCATTGCATGCGAGATCTGCTTGAAGATCCTTCTTGAAGGGAAGGATCTCAATGTAAGATTTATTATTTCATTTTTTGAAAGTAATATCACAATAAAAATGGTGTGATATGATTTTGTTTAAGTTGTTTATTTGTTCGTTACAGTTTTAACATATGAACACAACTAGCTGGTACCATATAAACAGAAGGGTAATGTATACGTATTTGCATAGGCATATGAATGCATGTTTTCACCTTTGTTGTCATATTTTTCAGGTATCAGTATTCCAGAGGATAGAATGATCTGTTACAACTCCTAGCGCACTTTCTAATCTTTATTTCAGGTGCTGGATGTCATAAAAGAAATACGAACACAGCGAGCTGGTGCTGTGCAAACAGAAGGCCAATATGTATATTTGCATAGGACACTGTGCGAGTATATAAATGCTAAAAAAATTGCGAAAGAAAAGATCGCGGAATTCTTTACGTCCTATTTGGCTTATGCAAGCAGTTGTAAAGGAGAATAATTCTTTCAATGTTATTATTGATAAGGATGCTTAATGAATGATGATGATGCAATAATAACAGCAACATTTCTTGAACATACTTGAAACATCCCAAAATTCCACAGTCTCAATAAAAAATCCATTTATCAATTGTCTGACTATTGTGCTTCAAATAATTTTGCAAAACACGAAATAAAAATTGGAATAATAAAACTTTGCATTATTTCATTATTCACATAAATATGTAAACACTTGATGATATTTAAAAAAAAATCTCATACAAATATAAACTTGGTGAATATAAATGGTGACCTAAGTAAAATATTAATTTTATTAAAATTTCATTAATATAATTAATATAATATAACTATATTGGATTATATAATTACATTAATTATATTGAGAAAATAATTTAAACTTAATCGGAGAAGTATGTCTTTACATACTTATTGTTAATTAAATCTGGATGTTATCTAAATAAACATCGAATGATGAATTTCGTGATTTCCTCTTCTGTTTTGTGCTTGTTTCCTAATTTTTTCTAAACAATGAATGTTGTTCATCCGAGGCACTTTTAATAAATTCAAAATATTAAACTGGAAAACAAACCCAAAATAAGACGAACTGATAAAGACTGGATAATAATTATACTGCTATTAAGTTTAGACAAGTTTATTGACTACAACCCTGTACATCTATCACATATATCAAATGCAACATTGTTCATTTAAAATAATAATTTGAAGGTAACATAATTTCCAGATAGAGTTGGCACTGGGTTAGTGTAGTACAGAATGCATAAACTCCAACTTATAAATCATCTATCGCATAGTATGCTATAAATACGGCAAAAAATTATCCTGGGGAATTCAAGAAATTTTACTAACACTCTAGGTGTGTATGAAAAGCAAATTCTTTCATACAATTATTTTTCAAAAAATTTTAGAAGTTTGTTTAAAAAAAGGTTATAACCAATACTTCCAGAATGAAATATCCGTCAAACGCAATTTCAGTATAAATGTATTGTTTATAACTTCTTCCGCTAGATATTCCTTTATTAAAATCTGCTAACCTTTGAATTAAGTAAGATTTAACCGGTCGACTAGCACCATTTAGCGTAGCACCAACACTACAGCTTCTGCATACTTCCTGATAATTGTTATTCGGGACTGATTCAGCATTGATATCACTGCTGCAACCTACGTTTTTCTTCGTCGTGGAAAATGTGGAGCGCGGTTGCATGGAGCCTGTACGTCGATATCTACGAAATAGAAAGTTTCATTTAAGAAAAGATTTTTATTTTCCATTAGTCATTTTTATTTTTGTAAAACTTGCTGTTGATCAAATATTTCTGGTGAAGATGACATTTTAATTATCTGCTATCAAATGAAGTGAACTACATTTTGAATATACAAACATTAAACCTTGTCATGATTTTCGAAACACAACTGTGTGTTACACCAATAATGCGAGCAATATGGCTTATTCTGTGACCCTTTTCGTAGAGCTGCAGAATTTTTTGTCTTTCTTCCATCGCAAGTGGTCGACCAGGATTGTATGGTCGTCCAAGCTTATTCTTAGCTTGAAAAATAAGAAAAGCTCATTCTACAGTACAAAAAAGTATTAATAATTCATACAAGTAGTAGAAAATTGGTTAAGCCATGATTAAGAGAATCGCATTTAAATTTTAGTAACAAGTGATATAGAAGAAAGAACAAAGCTTTAACGTTATTTAAAAAATATCAAACGTCTGCTTAACCTGACTTGTACTCATTGGTTTTAATACAATGTGTTCAAATTTCTTTTCTTAATACGAAAAATCATGTGAAATTGTCGAGAAGGCAACAACGTACAGGATATAACTAGCGGCGTAGTAGAAGCAATTAATTTACAAGGATTTGTAGGTTGAATTTCTTTCTTCGTACTTTCGCAGTGTTTCGAAGGATTTGTGACACATGAATTTGACGACAAAGGATGTGGCAGTATGTATTGCTGCGCATCTATTGGAACAGTGCAGGGTAGAGCTGGTGTGAAGCAAGACGCGCTGTCATGTCCCTGAAACAATAAGATGTGCATTTTCTAAATCTTATCATCTTTTTTGGTTGGATCCAAGCTTTTACATTGTTTTTTTCATTAGCTTTTTGTGCAGTGACAAATGGTCAAATCATCTTTTTATCAGTGTGCAGAAGGTTCATGAAGGTAAGCAATTTTCATGCTTATTTCATGTAACGGTTCATGAAGGTAAGCAATTTTCATGCTTATTTCATGTAACCCGTAACTTCACAACAGCTCAAATATTGATTATTTAAATAGCAGTATGTACACTCATCCGTCTTATCAGTCTAAAAGTTTGCTTTCTTGCTCCTCAAAGCTTTCATATTTTGCTGTAAACCATGCAGACTTCTTTGTCTTATCAGTATTATCATTAGGAGATTCCGACTGTCCAGTTAATCTTTTAATGCTCATATCAGGATTAGCTCGATCGTACAAATTTTTTAAAAATTTCATGATTTAGCTATTATTCACTTTCTTTTAATCATCCATCGTGTATCCTGCTTAGGTTTTTAAACCACACGATACAAGCCAAATCAATATCTTCATGCAATTTGTATTACTGGTGTTGTGCTATCCAAATATTGTTATTCTTTTCCATCATAAGAAGGTAAGAGTTTCATGAAAGCTGATATTTTTAATATATATTAAAAGCTCAACTTATTACACAACTTATCACTTAAATTTTAACAAACTTTTTATGTTTGAAACACTCTTTACAGTTTTTCCCCAAAAAAGTGAATTAATTCCCTCTCTATTCTTTCCGCCCAGTTTCGGTTTCATTTAACAGAAAATCATCCTTACCCATCATCCTTACCCTTTCTTTGCAGCTTTTCTGCAAAACAAGGAATGTTTTTCCAAGTGCCATTTTTGATGAACGTCATCCTTCTACTTGTTCTGTTTACTAAAATCCAGTCAGACGTATTCTCGTTTGACTTATTTTGAAATTATTTCCATTTATAAAAGTCTTAGGTGAAGTTCTGATACACTGAAAACAATTAAATGCCAATGTCTCATTCTTTGCAGCTTTTCCCCAAAAAAGTGAATTAATTCCCTCTCTATTCTTTCCGCCCAGCTGACCGGCTCTTCGTCGTATTAACGAATTTTGCAGAAATAAAATGTAGAATTCCAATTTATTGTTCTCATCAGGTATCCAAAGAAAAGAATCCAGCTTGCTATGAAGACGCTTTTTGTCCTGTTACGTCTAATTCAGCCTTGATTTGCAGTAGGAGGATGCAATTTGGCAAAATGACGGATGACAATGCTTTGTTACCAACAAAACATATAAACAAATAAATATAACTTAAGCGAAATAATTGATTTTTAGATTATGCTTTGTCCTTTTTCATCTAAGATACTGTTCAGAAATCATACGACACACTTTTTTATTACTAAAATGACTGACAAACGCGTGTTACATAAACGCAACCCTGTTGCATTATCAATTACAAGCTCTTTTATTATCAGGAAAAATATGATAAATTTCGGAGAATATAAAAGTTGAATGTGATCTGTGTAGGCAGGGTTTTCTGAAATTTTTCGAAATTTCAAATTTCTAATTTTCAAACCAAGAATTTGAAAACAGAAAAATACAAGTGGTATTTGAACACTTTCTTGTAATAGATGTTATTAATTTGGACAAAATACCAAAGAAATAGTATGAGAATATGGAGATAACAGCAAGTAATATTAATGGCGTAAGAAAATTATAATATTTATAAAAAAGCAACTCACCGTTGTCAATAGCAAGGAAATATAATCGACTTGCGTGTTGTAAATCTGAATTTCGTGATCTAGTGCTGTCGAAGATGCTATCATATTTTGTGTCAAAGCCATGGACCATACGTATGATACCTATGGGTAACTAGAATTAAAAACAAAACTATGCTCAGGCTAGCTTATCAAAGAGATATTGTCAAAAAATCAGGCACAGTGTTTTAAAACACCGTATCCAAGTTGTAAACTGTTTTCTTAGAACCAATCAAACAAATACAAAGCCAATAACGACTGTATTTTTGTTTTTACAGAAATGTTCACAAATTTTGATAAAGATTCTTGTTGCACTCATAAGAATGGAAATCTTTAATTGTTCACTACAGGTCTTTCTCTTACTTCTACCTATTGAGATGACCCGTAACCCGAACAAAAGCAAATAAGAGTTGTTGATTCTGAATATTTACTGTCAACAGAATGGATTTTTCTGAAAAAGGAGGTGTAAGGCAGAGTAACCGTAAGATATGTACGATTGTGTGTGTGTATGTATATGTGTGTTGAGGTGTTTCATCGAGTGTATTCATCTTTTCATATGTCTCTCTGTACCTGCTTATCATGTCAAGTGTTACGAATAGCAAACAGGAAGCAGACTGAGTAGAACTGCTTTTGAAAACGGGTCTGGATGCTTAGCGAAAGGCCTGCCCAAAATGGCTTGGCAGAAATGATCTTTTTGTTCATTTTCTAGTACCTTTTCTTTGTAAATTTCTGTTGTTCTGCCTATCTCTTCGAGCTGATACCGAACTCTTCCACTTATTCATTTAATATAAACAAATGTGTCACTACAACAAAGTGTCGAATTGATGATAGGACATTGAAAAAACTTTTTATCACTATTAGATTGCTTTGCAGCTTCATCCCTTTTCTGCCACACATTATGCGAACTGATAACCGGACTGCGAATCAAATATCCACCATGCCCTAGGGCGACAATTGCCATATGGACAAAATATCTGCCATACCCGAAAGCAACAATTTGGATGAATGTTATTGTTGTACTTTTTGCGCTCAAGAGAATAATGAGTGGATTGATGGTACTGTTGCACTTGGAAAGAAGTGAAACGACGAATTCAGTTAGCAAACGCAGACTGAACTGCTCCATACTTTATGCATTACACGCAACATCTTATTGTTGTTGTTCTTCTTATTGTTGTTGTTCTTGTCATATTATTTCAACTTTTTTCATCCCTCAAACTACAACTTCTCTTCATATGCAGTGACACCCTTGCCATTTAAAATCACTGTGGCGGCTTCTGCTAGTAGCAGAAGGCACTTTTTACTGTTATTATAATGCTTATTCCATCAGCTTACTACACTGCAAATATTTAAATTTGTTTTTGCATCTTGTCGTGTACTTAAATATTTTTACTATCGAACATATCAAATATATAAATTTTCTACTTTTATGTATGCATAGTATAAGTTAAGCAAGAGAAATGCAGAAGCACAGAAAGATTACAATAGAATACCAAATTGTCAATTCGATCAAGAAATCGTGATTGATGGATGATGAATATTACACTTTTTACTGGGAAATTGTCTCCAACAGCATAATTCTGCATTTGTTTTAAAATTTCATTTTCTAAGTTACTTTTTATCCAGCGTCAAAGTAGAAAAAGATTTATTTAATAATTATATAGAAAGAGTAAGATAAAAAGCTTACATTTCCTTCTCTTCTGGTCGATTCACCCATCATTTCTTCCATAAATTTTTTGTGAAAACTGCTCATGAAGACAAAAGATAGGAATAATTGGTTTGGATAGAATAATAAGCTTTTTGTAGTTCTTATCAACAATAAGCTTTTATAACTGTTATCATGAAACTGAATGAACTTCAAAATACTAAATCAATGCATATATGTTGCGACATTATGACTGAATTGCAGAATGAAAGATTTGAAATTTGAAATGAAGTTTGTAATCACCTTACACATTTAATTCCTTCTGCAGATGTTAATTTTTACTCTCATTAATTTATAAAACTTTTGTAAGGACAAAAAAGAGCAGTATTTTAACGTAATTATGAGGTTATTTGAATAAAAGTTATTCAGACAACAAGATTGTATTACGATCGCCTACTAGTGACTTACAGAAACAAGAGTAATTCAATATGAATTATCTATTCGAAATTTTAAATAATTTTATATGTGTTGACTAATAATTTCAAGGAAGTTTCCATAGCGAAATAGGTGAATGAAAACTTTTAAAATAGACATGTCACTCACTAGATTGTATCATCAATCACTAAATGTGTCATCCCTAGGTTGTATTATCCAAATACTTAAAGTCGAACGATTTCGCTATAAACCTGATTATTTATTCAAATGTGACAAACGCGATAAACGAACATTGAGCATTTTCGAAAAATCATTTATCAAGTAACAGAAGGTTCACTCCCCGAACCTTCTAATCCTCCCTCATCCTCATCAGCTGCAATACTGTCAACGATACGTGATAGCCGCTCTAAAGAACTTTTCTTGCCCGATGTTTTCCCTGAAATTCATCAACTTTCTGTAAATTGTTTTGTGATTTGCATAAGTTTAAATATTTGGGTTAAGTATTGAAACATAATGTGATTTTTTGAAATAAGAAAGATATTTTGAAACACCTTTTCAAATTTTTGAAAAATAAAGAAGTTAGAAATTTTAAGTCTTTTAGGAACAACTGATACTTATTAACGCTTGAGAACATTTTAAATTAAGATACTGTTTCTTTTTTTTTTTTGAAATTTTCCAATTGTGAAGCAGATATTTTATTTTCATAAGAAAGATATTTTGAAACATCTTTCCAAATCTTTGGAAAATAAAATTCGAGAGTAGGATCTATCCTCGTGACATTAACGAGGTCAAAACTTGAAGTCAAGTAGGAACAACTGACACTTATTACACTGTTATTGCACATTGCTCTTCTACTAGATTCTCTCCGTCACTCAAACTGGTAAAGCGATATATATATATTCGGTCTTAAATTTCTAAAAATCTTACATCTGACCTGCGTTAAGGATGTCCGCTTTTTCTCTGTAATGATCCTGTTTAAAACTCTCTTAAGCACTCCTTTGGAATCAAATAATTAGATGAATTAAGAAGCAACTAGAGAAATGAAATAGACGGATAAACATTAATCACTTGATCCTCTGAGATGATTGATACTAGCTACGGTACACTAAATGAGCCATTTTTTAAGATTTAATTGGAATGGTTAGAATTTTGCTTTGAAAAAATCCGAATGGAAAAGAAAGAAGAAAAAAATGTTTCTGTATTTAGATAGAAACAAAAAAGATTAGGTTTCGCATCAAAGAACTTGTGATGTTGTTCATCTTCAATGGTATTGAGTGCAAGCAAATGATTATTATATCCACTGAAGAATAATATAATTAAAACAACCTTATTGTGCTAGTATCTGCCTATTTCGAGAATGCAAAGGAAAACTACAACTCACTAATATAACATGGCCATAATATTTTACTAATATAAGTATTTGATTTTTTAAGTATCTTTTGTATATATGCAAAGCAAAGATCACATTGGAATGTTGGTTGATTGCTGAACTTTGCTTGACTTTTGTTTAAATTACTGTAAAAAAGAGCAAGAAATTTGTTTCTATCGTAAACAAACAGTATTTTCCAGAAATCATCCTTTTTTGATTGATAACATATACCTAGATAAACGAGAATTAGAAACTCCCAATTTCAGAAGATTAGAAGCACAATGCGTGGTTCATTTTGCGAAAGTGAATAGGACGTCTTTCTTAGGAATTGCTACTGCTTAAAAATATGGTTGCATGTTACAATAGACGAAAAATATAAAAAGTATTTTGAGAAGCAGAAATACAAAGAAGTAAATTGTGATAATTTTGTTAGTCTAAAAAATTGGAAAAATAAATTAATAGTGCTAGAAAACAGAATCTTAACAATCAAGGTTCGGAAATATCAGTAACAAGAAATTACTTTTGTAACCTATCGCACCAAAAATTTTTTATTTTAAAATGACTTGTGATAAATTATTTTCAAATTAAAGTCTGAAACTTTTCTAACTTGCAGTTTTACTTTTAATTACTGAATCTGACTTGCTTCATGAGAACTTTCGCCAGTGCTTACACTTCCGAAATCTTCATTCTCTTCCGTAAATGTTCCCATCTTGTTATCATAATAAGTTGCAGCTGAACCGTTGCTGGATGCATTATGTACAGACTGCAATAAAAGCGATTTTTGTGTTGCTTTTAATTGTTTTAAAATAAAATACTTAGTTTCAAAAATACTGATGGAGTAAAATATAAGTTGCTTATTGATTTTATTTTGAAATATGAAGCTTTAAAATATGAGACTTTACTCCACTAGCAATGAACAGAATGAAGTAATCTCAAATGAAAACAATTGAACTATTTATTCCGAATTGCTAAAACTGATATGTTAGCTATCGTTTCTAATTATTAATGTGATAACAAAATCATTTCACAGTCTTCCTAATTCCAATTTAAAACAAGTTTTATTTATCTCTCATGACAAATGAAATTTTTATAAGTCGAAAAAGTTGAGAAAAAATTTTTCTCAATGTGTAGGAAAGATATCCCAGCAAATAAATCACTGATATATCACTTCCACAGCTGTTGCAATGAAGTAATAAATCTTTCAATGATGATATTTGGCATATATGACAGGAACCAAATTTCTTACAGTAGATGATTATTTTGATTTTTGACTTCGTAATTGCTTGCTTATCAATCTTACTTGCTAACTAAAAGCAAATATAAAGTAAATGGAATAAATCGAATAAGTAAATTATGTTCAAATTAATGAGTACGTAACATACAGTTGTCTTAAGGCATTCCAATCAATGATAAAAATTAAACAATTAAAAGTTTTTTTGATTGAAAATTAAAAACAAAACATTTTTATAACTAAGAAGCTATGCTTTTGAAAGCACTTAGAAAAGAAAAGATTTTTTTCCACTTCCAATTCGTCAAAAAAGTTATGCAAATTTCTCCACGACTATCTGACTTTTTATGAACTAGAGTTTCTATAACCTCTAATGGCTCAGTTGCTGATCCTAAAAACCTTGTCGGTGTTGTACCTTCCTGGGTACCAGAAGATCATTCATTTTTAAACCACTTCTGGATAAATCTCTGTACTTCATCATAAATGTGTCTAGGCTTGTGTTTTCTAGTCATCAATTTTAATATCTTTATTCAACATCTTATACTCTCAAGCAAATAAAAAGAATCTATGATGCGTTCTTATGATATCGCTACCCCTCAACGCGCCTAAAAAAATTAAATGAACGGAAACTGAAATCAACTGACGACATAATCCTGGCCATCGTTATCTGGCAAGTGAATTCCTTGATTTGCAGCCATGATTTTTGTCATTTTTCCTTGACTTTGTAGCATATTTTCTAGCTTTGTGATATATTCAATTGCACTTCTCAAGATTTCTACCTAAAGTAAAAAGTTTAGGGAATTTTTTCCGGAACATTCCCAAAAATTGAAGGACTTTCGCGATTTTATTCGAGAAATTGAGTTTTTAAAAACCTATTTTTTTTAAAGGATCTTTCTAAGATTTTTGAAAAGTTTTATACTATAAATGAAAACAAACCTTTGGTAATCTTTGATTGGGATTAGGACATGTCCTTTGTTTTACTACTTCAAATGCTTCATTTACTTTGCGCAATCGCCGCCTTTCGCGCATTGTTGCTGCTTTCCTTCTGTCCACTACAATTTTGTAATATTAGCTTATTTGTTTTTCCTTAAATAAGTAAGCAGATAACTAAACCAATAAGTTATCAACGGGAAGGTGGCAGCAAAAATTAAAATGATGAATAGATAGCTTGCTTTATAAGCATCTTTTGGCAAAGATTTGAAAATTTGCTTTTTAACTGAACTGATTGTTAAATGTTGTTTGGAATAAGTTTCAAAAACTTACATCTCCGCGGTACCTGTGTGGGTTCAGCATGTTGTTGCACAACGGTTGAAGTATTAGCGACATCCGCATTTGTCTGAATTAACTCCGCATGTGATTCTGGGATATCGCTGGTTGAACCACCTGCTGCCGAAATTAGTTCTACTGCTAAAACTTCTAAATGCTTAGTTCTATCCTCCTTATGCAATTTGACAGCAAAAGCCTAACATTTTTGTGTTATAAACTTAACTTTTCCCATAAATAGAATGTGAGTCTAGAAAAGAGATAAAAGTAGAAATGGAAAAACAAGTCAGTGGAGCAAGTATATTAACTTTCATCTGTATGTTGAGAAACATTTTCACAAAAAGATAATGAGAAGTGCTGATTGATTAATGCTACAATCAACATTACTACCATTCAACCAAGATAACATTGCATAAAATGTTTTAGAAATGATAATTCAATTTCTTTTTGGAATTTACATATGTGTTTTTGTAAAATTACTATAATTTGATGAATTCATTTTATTAAAAATGCTAGCACTGATTTTTGATTTTGAATGAGACTGAATTTGAATGCTTATTATTTGAATGCTTAGGAATTAGAAAAAGCAGCAGAATTATAAACAACATTCTGTCACAAGCACTAACTAATAATATACACATTCCATTTTTCATAAACATCGTAAATTTATATTTGATTTCTTAAAGCAAAAATCAAACTTTGATTTTCAATAACGGAACTGAACTTAAGGTTAACTACCCTTCAATGTTTCTTAAAAACTTTAATTTGGATAAACAAACAGTAAAAATGGACCATGTTCTTTAGCATCCTGTTCCTGCTTAATATCTTTGGTAATTCCAGGGTCAGATCGAACTGATTTCGAGAAGTCCGCATTGCCCCGATTTGTCGAAAACGATGTTAAATCTGTGGTATAGAAAGATGTGGAACCAGTAGTGGGGCCGTATGATGGGTAATAGGACGGATATCTGTAAAGTAGGAAGTGAAATGAAATAATGAAATAATTGTTACAAAGAAAAGCTTTTCCCTACGTTCCAAAAATAAAGCATTCCAATAACTCAGTCAAATCTCTACTCAAACTGTAGAATTGGTCAAATTATGCTTCGTAGTAAATTCATGTAATCAAATGAAAACCCTTATTTGTGAACGATGAAGCGGTAACGGTTGTGATCTCTTGTTTGTTGTATGTGCTGAAACTTAAATGAAATGATCCACATTTCCGACTAAATGTAGGAATCAGGATTACCTATACGGATCATAAGTAGAAAGGGCATGCGCGGATGAATATTCTCCAAGAGGAGTTGCTTGAGGTGCAAAAGGTGTTAAAGTCGTTATATCCGGCGCTGCCGTTATTCGTGCTTGTGGTTGTGTGTAGCCGTATAATGGATCGTATTGACACCCTTCTGGGTTCATCTGCAATTAATCAAAAAAATTTTCTTAACCATTTGTTGATCTATTTATATATTTGTTGTTTTGTTTACTTGATGTATTCATTCAGACATTCATTAAAAAGCTTTTTCCGGATAAGCGCTCTCTTTTCAAATAAGTATTCCACGAATCATGATTTCCTTTGCATTTTGCACCGAAAAAGTAGTGGAATGTTTTGTAACATAGTACTAAGCTCAAATCCTTACACAAATGTTTATACACTTAATATGTGCAATCCTCTTTACTTGAGGTTGGCGCGTTGCGTTTTGCAAAATTAATAAGAAAGAAGCTAGCTATGAAACTAATAAAGCAGTTGTGAAACTAACCAAAAAAACGAAAATTGTTCAACATGAATATTTCTGGAAGAAAATTTAGTCTTCTTATTCAAGGGAAATCTCGCTTGAAATTACTACTCAAGGCGACATATATAATCATATACAATCAAGATAAGTGCAGTGACTGTTAATTAAGGCTGTCCTTCAAGGTGGGTCAAATGGATGCAGAATTGTTGTGAATGTTTCATCCGAAACGATGACGGGCTAGACTGCCAGCTAGGCTTAAGCTAACTAAGACTTATACTAGAAATAGGCCAGTTGGTACGCCATCTGTGGCAACAGGCGGGGACAGCTGTATCACCATGTTAAAACTCTAGCACTTCGGCCGAAGAAACACATATGTTCCATGGTTAATTGTTGCCGAATTGTGCTTAAAGGCCAACTGTTGTGTTGTAGTGGTAGTAGTGATGCTGACGTGTATGTATGTGTTAGTTTAAATATAAAATAAAATAGTTGCCTTAGAGTTAGTTAACATCATTATTCCACTATTATCAACATTATCATTCTCTTCACCAGCATTCCAGGAGACTTACCTTTCAAGCTTTTCACTATCTGCAGAGGCCGGTGGCTGTGCTCCGTGAGCAGGTTTACTTCTCTTCGAGAACAATTGGCGTAAATTTCGAGATGACGAACAAGACAGAAGATGGCTTTGATTCGACAGCTGCTATCTTCAGGAACAACAAAAACGTCCACTACCAACAACTGACTTTAGGCCAACTGTTCATTCTTGAAAGAAGGTGAAGCATCCCGAACTAATCTCTGGCTAACTTCCTGGCTAACTACTGTACTCCGCCCCTCCTCTTTGAAATAAAGTTGTTGAAATCTAACTACAAGAGAAGTAAGCTTTCGTTACAGATTACAAGGAATGGAGAGAAGTAAAGAAGGAAGGAATTCCTAGAGACAGTTGTGCAATATAGCAGCAGTTATATCAGATCAGCAACAGATACCCCCTAAAATATTCAACCTCCCTTTATTGTCCCTTAACATCAAACCATCCTATAAAAGATGTTTTTTTCATAGGACCGACTTCTGAGAATAATTTTACGACGATGGGTACAACGGAACAAAATTTATAGCTTGAAAAGAAATAATTCCAAGTATTGATAAATTGTCATCGGTACAGAATTGCACCAGCAGACACATAAACACGAATATTGCTTACAGGTCGCCTTCTGAATTTGGTCTCAAAATTTGCTAACAGAGAGAAGGGGAACAGGACAGACAACATCTGAGATAATATTTCATATATTGTTTAATTCTTTGTGACAGCTCCATGGATTGGTCTGCAACTATCCAGTTCAAGGATTCTTACATATTGTTTGTTGACTTTTATTACTGGTAGCTTCAAGATAATATTTCTTATGCTGATTTTCGTTCAACTACTTCAAACCATTTAAATCAAAAATTTTTACATCTTGAAATATTTGGGAATTGAGGTGGACAATTCAAGCAAAAAAAGGCTTATGCAGAATTTAAGCAAATAAACATATGATTCATTTCCATAGCATTAATCTCGACATCTCGGGTAGACTCTTATTGCATCAGAAGATGTGTACATGCTACAATTTGATAAATATCATTTTCGAAAAAAAAGTTAGCTTCTGTTTAGAACTGAAAAGTTTCGTGGGCATATAAAGCGCAATTTTCTCTCCAATGTTCCGTCAGTTCCTTATTTCGATCTATTTTTCTAAAATCATTCCATTCAGCTGCATTCACAGGTTTGTATTTTTTCCACTTTTTTTGGAGTAAAACTATTTTTAACACATATGTTATTTCTTGCTCATTTCAACAAGCTTCTCTACCATAAATACATGACAACAGAAAGTGGACTTTAACGAAGCTAGCAAAGTCGAGGACAGGAAAAGATTAGGTGGTCATTCACAGTAAATGCTTGAGAGTTCCTTCCACCTATATAAATTGAAGTCTATGCGAAATTAGTAGCATTTATAACAACTTTTATAATTATTCACTTTCCGTTTACTTCTAAAAATGCTGCTCGCTTAGACTTATCAAGTTTTCTTTGCCGCTCTCCCCATTCGCTTCCCCTACCTTCCTACATATAATTTACCTATTTATATTTAATCAATCTATTTATTTAACATATCTATTAATTAGCTAATTAATTAATTTATATGTTTGTATTTACATTTATTGCTTCTACAGCATTTTACGGTTTATCACTCAATTATTCGAAACTACTATAAGTTTTTTGAAAAGCATTTGCACATTCTAAACTTTTCAGTTTAAAATGTGCGAAGAAAAAAAACTTGAAAAGTTAGTCTTTCTATGATAATAGTTGTAAGATTTCATGTTTTATTTATTCTTGAATTTAGTAAAGTATATGACAAAATTTTTTGATAAATTTCGACAAAATTCTTTAAGATGCACCATTTCTCAAATTTTTGATTTTATGCCTAATTTTTTAGTTAATAGTTTTATTCTTTCCCAATAAATGCATCCATAAACTAGCTGTTTGAGGTATTTTAAAAAATATATTAGTTCTTCTTGACCTTTCTGGTTTTTTTCCTATTCCTGAAATAGTCACTACAAACGAATAGAGCCGATTAAGTATTACAATTCACTATGTGTGTTTAGCGGTGCCTTGTTACAGAAGTGAGGCTTCTTGTCGGCATATTAGATGTCACTGAAGATTCCTGTTCGTATTACGATACATTAGCTGTTGAGCTTCTGCTTCTGCTATAAGCCGCACTTTTCTCTCAGTGATAGATGTGTCAGTCAGTTAGATATTTGTAGCAATTGGTCCCAAGTAAAAATTTATTGTCGCAAGTGCTAACTAAATGACCAACCTTACTTTCCAACTTAACTGTAGATGTATGTTTTGGCAGGATGTGTATCATTCCCTAACATGGAATCCAAAATAATCTCGACATTGTCATCCAGAACTTCTTTTAGCAGATATCTTTAGTTTTAGACTAATTTTGGACAGTATTCAACATATTATCATTTGTCAGACTGTGAACTCCCAGAAAAGTTTATTTACTGGGCTTTTCATAGAAAATTTCTAGCTGAAGAAATTTCAATTCCTTCAATTAAGTAATTATAAATAGAACTGCTTGAAATCTCATAAAACGTGATCAGATATACTTGTAATTTTGAATTATTATCATTTGGAATATGATTAGAACAGCTCATAAATATTTATGTCAATATGCTAAAAATGCTAATGAGAGTTGGTTGAACAAATCATACCTTATTTTAACTGTGATAAACGTTTAATCAATAACAAGCTATCAGATGTTGATAATACGGTTGTGATTTGTTTTACTATCACTTTTGACTGATATTAAAATTGCAATGAGATTTGATTTGTTTAATGATAGTTTGCCATAAAAATAGTTAAAGGTTCATTGCAAAAAAGTACGGCGATTCAAATTTCTCAGTGGAAAAAAATGGTAAGTTATGGGAGCAACTGAAAATGCCGTAAATTTAAATGTGTCGCTTGTATTCATCGCTTCCTTATCAATTGACTGACAGACATACTTGAGCAAAAACCCTTGGCAAATCATCCAATCGATCTTTTTCTAATTGATCCGTGCTGCATTCCTCAGTTGTTGTTCATTTGTATTAGTTTAGGATCTCCACCAAAGACTTATTATCATAAATAAAGTAGTGATGATAAGCTTAATGAACTAAAAGAAACTAAGCATTTATTTTTTCTGTTCTTTCGAACTCAGTAAAATAAGAGCATCAAATTCATGAATGAACTTTTGAATATTAAACGAAAGAAAAAGGCGTCCGTTATGATTAGTAAAACGCAGCGTTAAGTGAATCGATGAAAACTGTTGAAAGAAAAATATCACTTTTAAAATTGCTGGGATTAAGCAAAAACATATTCATGATTTGATCAAGAAGTGAAGAGATCTTCCACTTCTTTTAAATTAGAATATCTGCAGAAATTTATGAAAATAAGGAATGACCAACTGACTTGGAACATCAGAGAGATATTAACATAAAACAGGTCAGCCAAAAATCATCATTTAATGAAAAATTTTCATGATTTTATTTGCACTCTTGCTAAAGAGCTGAATAGAATATTCTGGCCGGAACTTCAAGAAGTGAGAGATCCTATAAATGAAGTAAAATCAGGCATCTTGTACTTCAAAATTTTTAGTTTAAGTTCAACAGAACAAAAAAGGCTAATGAATGAAAAAACTCCACTACACGATTCTAATTAGTTACAATCTATTATCATCACTATTGTCATTATCACTGTTGGGATTTGGGCATATCAGTTAGTTGATGCTTTATTTCACTTATTTATTTTCAAACAGGGCTTTGTTGGACTTTAATCAAGCACCCTGTTCACACTTTTGCATTCAGCAAATTTCCACCCATTTTCAAGAAATTTGGACTTCATTTGAATTTTGATAAGGGCAGTTCTTTTAACTGACCGTCAGAGAAAGAATTTTTTTTTGTAAAGACAAATGCTTTTGTGCAATTCCATTCATAAAGCCCTATGGAATTCATCAAATTTGCAGTAACTAAATGAGGTAAAAACATGGTAATGCGAAGTTCTTCTATTAAGCTAGCATTTCTGATTTGAAATAACAGAAAACAATGTTTGCAATTAATAAAGTAAGCAGATTGATTTCTAAACATATTAACATTTTCGCATTATATCGTCTCAGGTAACACCGCGAAAATTGTTGAAATTGAATATCCTGAAACTAACTGAGATTGTGATGTCTTTTGATCAAATGCATATTCCTTCTACTATCACATGCTATGCATCTGACCTGAAGAGAATCAAATTTACACGCAATAGTAAATTTGGAATTCAACAGCAATGAAGTAAAAAGAAAGCATTTATTATATATAATAATAGAAATACTGCTTGCAACAAAGACCATAAGGAAACACAGTGCACGTGTCGAGTTTGCATAATAATATGGTTTACTTAATACAACAAAATAAAACAATAACTAACCACCGGGAATGATGAAAATATTCAATCATTCAATCTGTGTGTACATTAAATTGGATATTGAGTGAATTCTTCACAGCTTGGGAAAATTCATTTAAAAAGTCATTGCTACTACTATATGACAAATCGTATCTACCGCACATTCAGTGATATTGAAATGAAAAGCTTTGCTCCGCACATTAATTTTAGATAAAGACGTGTATCAAATCACCGCAATACTAAGAAATATGGTAGCTGTTATGAAGCAGTGAAGTGCCTTTGAATGCGTACGTCATCAATAGATGGTCAATGGATGATTGCATTAAAATATGGACAATAGCAACATATCACGACAAACAAACTTTTCCAAGTGAAGGATCGTAGGAACACCAAAAGCCTCTAATACGGTGATAACAGTCACATGAGTTGTTCATCATTGAACAACTCATTTAGTGCCCAAATTTTCTTGAAGATTTGCCAGAAAATTTGAATAAAACAGAACAGAAAAACACTTTGCCGTCTTGTAGAAACCACAACATACTCCATAATAAATTAATTGATTTCAACATTTTGGTATTGATGCTTTTCTCGCCCCTTCCTATTTTTTCTCTCACAAAAAAGTGACAAATAAGGCGGAAATTTTCGCCCTTTTCCCTTTTCCTGTACCACATATTAAGATAACAATTTTCAGTAAATCGTTAAATAAAATTAGTTAATACTCGTCAGTTTAATAGAATGAGTATTTTCAAAAGAAAAAAGAAGTGGAAACCAAAAGAGATACTGATATAAAACCGCTCATTTCTCAGGGTAAATCAAAAGATTTAGCACAGATATTACTCATTAATAATCATTGTGGAAGATTGTCCTAATACAACAATTGAACTGTTTCATAGTTACACACCAATTGTAAATAGATGAAGCTGACAATTCATTTTTACTAATTGAAATTTTTCAAAGACCAGCTTAGGTTATTTAAATTTCGTTGAATACTGGCAAATGTATACAACAAGCCATCAACTTTTTAGAATCAAAAGTAATAAAGTTGATCTTTTATAATTGGGCGATAAATTGCCGAATTTACAGTCACTTATTTTATATCGTTTGGCATTTAAAAAAAAAAAAAAAGTCATGTGTCTTTTATCACTTTGATTATATTACTGTATAATTTTAAATTATATTAATATTTGAGCATTTTTTCAAAATTAGAGGTGATGAAGTTTTACAGAACCAAACATGATGAAGCAATTTCCTTTTGAAAAGCACACATCTTCGCGTCGGCTGTTGAAGAATGACAATATTTTGGGAGGAATAGAATAAAATTCTTCCTCTCCAGTACAAGATACTAGTGAGGTAAGAGACACATCGTCTACAGAAGATTACATAGTATAAAGAAAATTTCATAATATAAAGTTAGACAGTTGTTTCCATAAATACTCATCAAGTTTCACAGACTTCAACTTCAAAAATAATTTTATATATAATACAAACATATACAATGTATATAACAGGAATGTGGCAGTAGGACAAATAGGTTTATTTATTGTGAAATAAATTAAGCTAAATTGCTCAATCTAATTGCTATAATCTTCTCAGCAGTTCAATTTGATCAACTCAGCGGTTTATACAGTAAAATTGAATAACAAGCTTTCTGACAGTACGACTTGTTATCGTGAGAATGATTTTGATTTAAAACTATAAATTTCTTGGAATAATTTCGAAAAACTTCTTGAAATAATTTCGGACATAACTTTTTGATTTCAATAAAACTGTGCTTGGAAAGCTTGATATTTCTTATTTTTCCCTGAGCAAATCAATATCAACAGCTAAACTATTCTTTTCTCCACAACACATTTGTATGGAGGTGGTGAAGTTGTCAGACCGAAGAGTCGTTTTGTTGAGGGATTCGGTCTGTTCGGCACGGTCCGAAAACGAAAATGTCTTATTAGATTAGCATAAATAAGGAATAGTTCAGCTTTCGCCAATGATTCACCCAAGCATTGTCGTTTACCAATGGAAAATGGGAAAAATGCATCATATCTAAAATTGGTCATCAAATTAAGCGAGCGGACAACTGATCACTTCATGCAAACTTCCCTCTTCCTAATATCTGATTGTTTATAGCATTCATTAGCTGATATTTCAGTTGGCAGTAAATATTAGCTGACAGTAAATATTCATAATCGCCCTAATGCATGATATCTTTAACGCTGTTGTTAGTTGAATTTCAGTTTTTTTTTTTTTGGTTTACAATATTTTAAAAAACAAAAAAGTAGACGACTACTCTCCAAAGCTAAGATGAATATAGACGTTACTTCTTAAGAGTGAATCCATCATCTTCTAGAAAACGCTCCGGACGGAACTCCCTGGGTTTCTCAAAATTTGTGGGATCATTCATCGCTATGGAAATTTGTGGGATACAAAGTGTTCCAGCCGGATAGTAATATTTTCCCATAACAACATCTTCCGCCACGGTTCGCAATAAATTGATGGGCAAAATATTAGCGAAACGTTGGATCTCCTGAAGAAAAATATTCAAAAGAAGAGTTCAGTGTTTTCTGTTGACTTACGAAGCTTTAATAGATACGTGTTTCAATAATTATGGATGCAGAAGCTGTTTTGCTCAGTAATTAAAGAACTTGCTGCCTACAAATTTCTCCAAGTTTATTTTTATATTCTTTCACTTAAAATTTTTTTCTAGATATTTCTTATTTCCCATGATATTTAAACATAGAGATTATAAAACTAAAAATCATAAAAATGAGTTGCAATATCGCTAACAAAATTGCTGCAAAATAATGGATGGAAAAAAATTTACATGAATGGTAGCCATTGTATATGAACATTTTGATTTGTCAGCAAGAGTAATCCTGCTCCCAATTTCATCTAATTCATTTTGAACTTTTGTTTGCACATCAGGATGAATCATTGAAAGAAGGAATCCCCACTTTAATGTTGTCACTGTTGTTTCCATCCCAGCATAAAATAAATCCAATAATAGCATCGTTAATTGCCATTCACTGCAATTAATAAATGCAAACTAATTAGCTTTCAGATGATAGTCTAAGCAAATATGATAGTTAAAACATATTTCAAAAAGTTTACAACTAAACAGCTAGGATGAACTAATTTGAACTGTACACAAACCAAAAACCAATAAATTAATGCACAGATAAAAGAATTTGCTTTATTGAATTAATTTCGACGATTTAAATAGCAAATTTAAACATCATGAAAAAAAGAAGAAACTATTTGGAGAAAAGTATTATCTGATTTAATGTCCATATCTCAAAAAGGAATTTTATAAGTAGTGAATTCAATACCTAAAATATTCACTCGGCTCACCGGATCTTTTTCTGCGATTTATTTCTGAGAGATATGCATACGTGAAATCTATGATTTCTGGAGATTCTTCGCAGTTGAATGCTTTCATGTGTACCTGAATCTATTAAATGAATATTAATTGATCATATGAGTGAACTATAAATTAGAATGAGTAGAAATATTGGTAAAAATTAGCAAAAGAAATAAGGAATAATGCCAATTAATTACACCTGTACTTCTCTGGAAATGAATTTCCATAGCTTATTTCGAAGATCCTTGAATTGTTTCCATTTATAATTTATGAATGGTATCCTTGTAGTTAACGGTAATGTTATATACAGTCCCATCAGCGGATGCATTACCAGTCGAGACTGGGAGTCTAGTAACGAATGCAAAAAACTGAATTCCGCACTTCCCTGACAAAATGTCTTTAATCAATGTAGGTCTAATTATTAAGATTGAATAAAATTAATCATTTTGCATTTTAGCTATACTCGACATCAAGACTGAAACAGGTTATAAACCTGTGGAAAACGATAACCAAATAATATGTTATTGATAATATTGCCCACACAAACGGCATGCATGGCGCATATGTCCATCTCTTGCCCAGTGCATTTCGCTTCCAGATAATCGATGAAGCTCTCAACTTCATTCATGATTTGCTGCTCTATTAGTATCCTACCAACTCCGAAATCTCGTAATACTCGAAGTACAAAGCGTCGCTGTTGCTTCCACTTATCACCGTCAATTTGAATTATACCATTAGCACCACCTACATCAAAACAAAATATCTGGAAGATGTAAATAAAATTGGGTAAATGATGAACAAATTCAGGACATTTTGCTATATTAAATTTAGTAACATAAATATGAGAAAAAGGGAGCATAGAGACTGTTCGGAATTGTACATACACATTTATGCTCGATTCTCGAAAGATGAGAAATTAAAAAAGTGCGTCTGCAAAGATTATTAGGTAAAATAAAATAGTGAACTACAAAAGAAAAAAATAGTTTATCATTACCCATGAAGAAGTCAGTTGCATAATTACGCCACCGATTACTAAACACCTCGCTATTACGTACAAAGTATTCGCGCATTGTTTCCACATCAGTAACCATTACCAAAGGTATCGGTCCGATCCAAAATGTGACCAGGTTACCTAAATCATAAAATTCTCTCTTCTGCAAATATTCTTTGCAGTTAACTTTTGGAGAATGCATTTAATCATATCATACTTATGTCGCATTCACATAATCAAGATTTAGTGCAGCAACCAAAAATTCGATGCTATTAAAATGCAAGCTAGCTATTCGAAAGGAAAAAGGCTATAACTGGAATGAATTATTTAGCGATTGCTTTTTTACTATTTAGAATTTCCATCTATAGCCGGATTGAGCAGTTGAAGTATTACTGAGATTGTTTTAGATTACTTAAACCTAGTGTAAAATTTGTACGAATAATCGAAACAATATTTTTTAATGGAAATTATTGCTTTCCCCCCTTAAACCGTATGTCTTTTCCAGCTAATCTTTTTTTTCGTAAACTTCCTGTAAACTACAACGGAAGCTTCAAATACTTTAGTAAAAAACAATTCTTACCGTATTTCTGCTTCCATGTAAGAAACATATCATCTATGGATTCATAAAATATGAAATGAAGAATATTGCCAAAAAAGAGCCATGGAGTTGGACCCGGTGGAAGAAATCGTCGTTTCCAACTCAATTCATGAAAAATGTATACTGCAGCTAGTAACATCAATGTTGGCGGTATTGGCTAGAAAAAGTAAACTGTTTGTTCGTTTCAAAGCTATTAAAAAGACGACTAACATTTTTTTAAAGGTCCATCTAAAACTTCACATATATTTGCTCACACTAATGTATTTACTAGCTCAATTAATTTCGTTAGAGCAAATAAACGTACCAAGGGAATAAATGAGATCCATGTTTTAGAATATAAAATTGAACTGATCGCTATTATCATCATCACAAATAATAAGATAAATCGAAAGCTATACATCGTGAAAATATGATCAGGTAGTTATAAACTTCGTTATTAATTGAATATTTCCCAGTATCTTCTGGAAGAACTATATTTGGGAGACCTAACGCTCATGTCACTTGATATACCTGAAAAAATCCTATCAGTTGATTGTAGAATCCTGGAAAATCAAATTAAAAAAAATAAAAAAAGATCAGTAGGAGAATAACAAACACTGACAGTAATAGCGGCATAGTATTTGGATAGTCGATTATCATGAACGACCCGGACAATCGAGGACAGCTCCCTATTTTCTCTCTTCTGTAGGTATTCCTCCCTTCGATCTCCGTTATTTTGCATGGTGATCTTTTTATCTTACCGCCCTTCAAATATGCCACCTAAAATTGTCATCTATCTGATCTACTCGTACTGACATATACTTGTATTGCATAATTCTTCTCTTCCTTATACGATTACCTTCCACTTCTCTACTCGTTTTGTTCCCGCATGAATTGATTGTTTTTAGAAAATTTCTTCACGTTCATATTAGTAATCTCTATTTCTCACCTTTTACGTTGTTGTTGCAGTTGTTTCAGACTGTGTTTTTTATAACGGAACTAATTTGGAATGAAACTAATTATAAACGATTAGCTATGCAAAAATTAGTTTTTTACAAAGTGAAAGAATTGACAGAAAAGTGATGGGAAAAGACAAGTAAGAGAAAATAGATATACTGAATAGAATTGTAGACCATAACGGGAGGATCCGATGTGTTAAAGTTTAACGACAAATCATATCTATGGATATGTCAGAATTTTTTAACAAATTATTTTACATGAATCTTTTGAATTAAATTTTTTCAAGCATACTTTTGTACAATGATATAGCATAATTGTAACACTTCATTCTCTAGAACTACGAATCCATGCTAGAAGTCATCTAGTACCACTAATGAAGCAGCAACTTGCGGTTGTTCGATTTTTTTGAACAAATGCATAGCATCATAAAGTTCAAGAAGTTTATTTACAATCCAGATTTCAGTTAACTGCTTTGCTAAAATTGTTTTTAAACACTCATAAGAAATACTATTTCGCAGAATCTGTCTAATTTGTAGGCAAATATGAGACTTTGATTAAAAACTTAGTCATGTCAATTTTTGACTTTACTAATGTCATCTGATAATACATTCTGATATGTGATTACTTGAACCAAGCATACTTTTAGATAGGACAAAAGATATTCTCAGGAAAAAGAAGTGCGAAAAGTAGAATTCATAACTTGAATCATTTTTAGTTGTTTAAGGAAAATAAAATTCAAGAAGAACTAGTAAAAACAGAACAACGACTGAAAACTTTTTTGTATTTGCTGGTAGTTCACGCCTTTATATATTGATTCCTGATTCAGTAATTAGTCAGGTTTTTGTGGCGAAATGTTTTATGTAAAAGGTTAATTTATAATTGAAAAGTGATGAAATGACACAAAGTTTCATGATGTATGTTCCCGTCTGGCACCCTGTAAAGTTATTTGGAATTGGTTTTTGTTCCAACGACGCCAATAAATAGGTCTGAAATATTCTAGCCACGCTCAGTCAATAACTTTCCATGCATTCAAACACATCCAGGTGGTCATCTAACAGACCTTCATAAATCTGGTGCAGTTAAATCTTACTGGTTTCCTAAAAGATCAATGAATATTTATGCTAAGGACATACAAAAAAACATTCACTTATTGATATAATAATGGACATATATGATGATATATAATGATATCTGTTTTTCTTTAATACAACATTTACAAAAAGGATCAAATTCACGGAGTGAACATCATTCTTGTTTATTATATGGTTGTCACTGTCCAAGAAGTATAAGAAGAATAGCTTCATCAGATAGACATCATCACTTAAGTTCAAACTACAAATCTCATATTTGTTGGTTTTCAATCTTGATTTCTTTTCACTTCGTATTCCACTCTGCGAAAGCTGTCCAAAAAATCTTCCCAAATCTTTTGTTCTTCATTTTCTTAAAATATTTGATATTTGAAATACTTTTTAATTAGTTCGTCGATTTTCCAATGAAAAATATTAGATGCAACTTTCAAAGAAGAAATTTGGGGCAAGTGAAAATTGTTGTTGTTTTTTATAGATAACAAAAAGATTCTTAAGCTACGTCAAATGATGTGAATATGGAGAAAAAAATGAATCCACATACTGTTGAATGATACATATTTGATTACTAGTAAAACGTGATTTTAGGAAGTAAAAGTGGAACAGGACCAGTCGATCTTTTCAATATTTTTTTTGTATAACAAGTATTTCTGATTTACTAAAAAGAGTGTGGTTTTATAATTTTTGTTATTGTTGATTTTTAAAAGATAGATCTCAAATATATATATATATATATATATTAAAAAAAGATATATACAAATATATATATATATAAAAAAGATATATATATATATACAAATATATATATATACTACCATGCATCTTAACTTTATTAGAAGTATTTTCTCTGAGAGCGTTTAAAAATGCCTAATTTTAATGAAAGTCGATTCATGACTGGAATTGTTTTGAATTTTCTACGAACTTGACAGCTTTTATACATTGTTGATGTTGGGTATTAGTTATTTACCCAATCTCTTATTATAACTTACTCTATCATTCATAATCATCTGATAATACTTTAGATATGAATAAATTATGAAGAAATCTTATTTAGGAACCATTTTATCTTCCTTGCTTCTCAAGATACTTGAAATTTGTTGCATATAACTCCTAGATCTAGTATATAATTTTTATTGTAATGTCTAAAAGTGCAAGAACTGATTGAAACTTTTTCTCTTGTATAATTTTTAACAGTGATTTATTCGCTGCTGGTTAAAATTTTCGCTTCATTTCCTTACTTTTTCAAGTGCTCAAAATTCGGTAAACATATGTTAGAGTTATAGTAATTGCTATATGGACAAAAACAAAGCGAATTTCAAATTTATGGAAGTAGTACTTATGCTTCTGAAAAATTTTTTCTTTTTTTAGCTTTTCAGTACTAATAAACTAATAACTTTATAGATTTTATAAACATCATATAGCAGCTTGTAAGTTTAAGTGTAAAATAACAAGTTTCTGAAAAATATGGCCGGAATTTGTTTTATATTAATTACGAATAAGTTTCATGCATTTGTATTCACATCATTCACACATCAATTTTGCATTTTGATACAGTTGGACTTGATAATAAGTTTAATGACTACACAGTTATGAAGACTTTTAATGTTAGTAATTACCGGTAAATGATTCAAATATGTTGCAATTCAGCAGATATGGAATTCCTCAATCAACAAGCAATCTTTTAATTGATCTCTGATATTTGTCCAGTTTCCTTTGATAATGTTATTTCTAATAAGAGGAGAAATATTTCTGAAATGAAGTGATGTCATAATTGGTTTGTAGTTATGATATCACTTCAAAAATTCTGGGTAAATTTAATTTCTGTGCATATCAAAGCCACTTCAGAAATATATACCTATATTGAGAGCACTACTATTCCCCAAATTTCTTCATTTTATTGTTAAAGCCAAAAATGAAATTACCTTTTAAAAATGTCACAACCAAGTGTTTCTCATATTGACCTTCTTCCTACTAGATAAATTGTTACCGCCCTATGTATCTCTTCTTCCTGCTAGATAAAATAATTTTCTTAAAGTTAAAAACCAGTCGATAAGGAACTTTAACGAGTGTTTGAATGTATATGATTCTTTCACTGTTCATAAATACTGCACTAAATCATTGTAGTATGGCCGTTATATGCATCTTATAATAGAGTAAAAAAAGTGACCAAGCAAGAGGGATGACCAAACAAGAGAGATGACCAAGCAAGTTCTACCTGCTATTTTGTAAAAGACACAGAAATGAAACAGTGAAGTTTGTGATGTATGACAACGAAGCGTTTTTTTTCGCGTCTTATTTTACATCACAGTTGGAGCTGAAATAAACAATAGTATGTTGATATATATGTTATCTCTACTGATGTATCTATCATATGGCACGTCAGAACTGGGTTATACCGACCGGTGAAGTGCAGATCAGCCCATATTTCTTTATAGGGTTAGATTTTATCGGTCACATGCGCTTATTTGACGATTGAGGAGGTTAAATTGTAATTCATTTGTCATCTAGGGCAATGTTGTTGACAATTTAGGGCATTCTGAACAATATCCGCTGGATCCTTACATTTGTGAGATAAATTGTGTGCGTATCATTTCATCAGCATTCATTGTTCACGGCTTATAATTTGAAATTATTCAGTTTCTGAACGCTTGTTTTTTAAAAAAAAATTTGTTTTTTTAAAACTAATTTCCCAATCACTTGAATTTGTTTCTAAGTTGAAATTAATTTCTTTTATTAAGCTGCTGCTCAAAGTCGTGCAAAAATAATATTATTTCTGGTAGTGTGATTTATCGGAATGATTCTTTCTATCGCAAATTTTGCCCAAATTGCGGTATTAATATCTTTTTTGCCACACCACTTGTCAACTAACCTATCGATGATGACCTTCCGTTCTCTAAAATGGTTTATCTACTCATATGGTCGTTTCATTTCTTTTTGTTTATTATTTATTATAGTGTATTCTTAATTTTCGACTATTTTTATCTATCCGGTCAATTTATGTTTGCAAAGTTTAAAATGAAAACTATTCCAGAAATGGTAATTCCACGCTAATTTCATTTTATAACGTATGTATAGAGTAAGAGTAATTTTAATTTCATATAATTTCAAGAAATGAATTTTGAACAAATACATCCGTTGAAATGAATTTTGAATAAATACATAATTCTCCAGTTAACTGTTACTAAATAGTGCAATTCTGATGGATCGAATGAAAAGGCTTGTGCTCAACAAAATAATCTTTCGTCGTTTCAAATTATATTTATTGAAAAAATATTTTGTTGAAAAAAATATCTTCTAACATTACATAATCAGCATTTTTTCAAGAAATTCAATGAGTCGAAATACTACCGGCAACAATGACGAAATCCTCTCTTCTATGTATCACACAGCAATGAATCGACGAAGCAGCAGAAGTCTGTTGAAGTATGGGTCATCGGATAAAGAAGTTTCACATATCTGTGAGAGTTCAATCGTAGACAAAGAACATTTAGCGTCCATATGCACACATCTTTGCAATCAAGTTAGTGAAACTTTTTTAGAATTAAGTCTAGTAAGGTGTAATATCAAACATTTTCGAATGTGTATTACCATAATGTAACGTCGACATAGGAATGATATACATTCGTTTGTACCACTTAAGTATGACATTACATCGCCACACATTATTGAACGATATTGTTATGCTGATGAGAATTACTCATTCCGGTTGGTAGTCGATTTTTACACTCTAATTACTAATTAGTAATATTAGTAATTAATAATAGTCCAGTTACTAATTAATACAAGCAGAAAACCTTTGCTAAGAGACTTTAAAAAATAACAGCAAGTAAGGAAAGTAATTGGAGGGAAGTGAAAAAAAGGAAATGATGAAACAAAACAAAACCTCATTCTGGAACGTTTCCATCTCGGAATTTCAAGCAGAAGTAACTATACTGTTAGTAGTACCAGCTTATACTCCTTTTTGTTTTTCCTTTAACTAGTTATCTGATTTTCCATCGTTTTTTTTTTTTTTGAGAGGAAAGAGGGGAGAAAAAAAATATTTCACTGTGTCTTCTAAGCCACTGGAGTGATGGAATCACAAAATTGTGCTCCAAAATATGGAAATGTCCCCGCAAGAATTATTAAAAAATAAGAATTTAAACTAACTTTACAATATTAAATTTCTGTTTGTAGTCGGAGCAATTTGCAGCTAAAAACGATCATTAACCTGCTGATAGACTTTGCGGGGGATGTTTGTGATGAATCAGCAACTGCACGTAGTTTGCTCTGCGAATTAGAGGTCATCTTTCTTCCCATTTACAGTTTTTATTCATTCTTTTTTAAAGTCTCATATTGATTTATGAAGAGTTTTCAAAAATTCATCAAAAGAAAAATGAATATATAATGTAATGTAATAACTGTATTTCAGGACAAGGTAATGCCGTTTCTGGTAAATTTAGATATCGAAATGGCCTCATCAGAGAAACTTATCCGAATAAATATTGATACAGCAAGAATTAGTGAAACTAAAGTGGACTGGTTGCTGAAATTCAATAAGTGCAAGGTTCTATCTGACTCAAGTACTATGAATTCCACAGCAGAGTGTGATAAAGATGAGAAAGGTCATATAGGTAACAATGGGACATAGAAAGACAAATCGCGCTAGCGAACAACTTTCCCCTGAATTAGTAGGTAAAATGAAGTAAATCTGGGAACATATTGTGGACTGAGTGATAAGAAATAGAAAAAACTCTTGAACCCAATAGAACCCTGCAGAATCATTATATGCATGAGTCAAATAAGTTATTTTTGTTTTCATCTTTTTAGATTGACTTAATCTGGAATCAAAATTATTTAAAACACATAACTTCTAAACCGTCATTCTCTAATGAGTAACCAGATAAATTTGGACTTTGAAAATATCTTACTCATTATGAGAGATTTTTTTTTTATCTATTTATTTCAGTTGGAAATGCGCGAAATGCTGGCCACGCTTTCTGGCGCAGTCTACAAAGATCTGGAACGAGTGCTGTCGCTGAGGTGCCGAGGTTGTTGTGGTATGATTTTTAAAAAAGAATTGATGCTCTATTTATATCAAATGAAGAAAGGCACTGATAAACTGTATAAAGAAATCAAATTGGAACAAACAGCACTCATCCATTAATCTGTAATTATATATTGAATGTTGTGATTTAATATATTTTTGCGTATTATCTATTCAGATTTGTACATTTAAAGAAAGACTCTCAACATAAGAGTACATTTCATACTCATATCATATCATATATATATACCTTTTGTAAAACCAACACATATTAATCAAAATATGCCATGGTAATAGAAGTAAATAAAAACAGTTTGAAAATTGTTTTAATGACACAACAAGGATAGGGAACGTTAAAGGAAGCAGAAGATGAACAGTGATTGTATACTCAGTTAATTAAGTTGGATCGCTGCATAAGTCTCCCGGGGCTTTCCGAGGTTTTTTATCTTTGTGTGTTAATGGTTGTCAGTTCCCGAGATGGTACGAAGAGCGGTATGGCTGCATGTAGTAATTTGACGAACTAGAGAAAAAGAACACGTTTATAGAGATCACTGATAATCGAATATGAGCGGCGGGAAAATAGTGCGGAAATTAGAGGTACGAGAAAGATTAATGAGATTATGTGATAATAACGTAAAGAAAGGGGAGAGCTTGAGTGAGGTAAGAAGAGAAGGTAGAGGCAGTCTAGCGCTGGTCTGGATACGAGTTGCGCACAGAGAGAGTGTGTCGGATGACCAACCACTTTTCTCGAACTAATGTTGGTAGTATGGTGAGGTCTGAGGTGAAGGAAGCAGGAATGGACGTTGTCATCAGTAGAACAAATCAAACAGTATTCTTTATTGTTCTATGCTTTGCTTTCACTCTTCAGATTGCCTTATCGTTGGGATCTTATTCTGGTTTGTTTTCACTTACCATTCATTAATGAAATTAGTTTACTTGTCTTACTTTCTTCACGATCCTTTTCACATCATTTTTTATTCGATCACATAACATTTAATGTAAAGAGGCTTTAGATGCCGAAAGAAAAAATTTTATATTGCTTTGTTGTTATGAGGAAGACATGACACAGATCTTCCCCGTACTTTTTTTTCTTATTAGGAAATCATCTTCTAGGTCATGCAACCCCGCCGATGTATGGTGATTATGAGGCTCAGAGACATTGGATGGAAATCACATATCATTTGCCTATTAATCAGTGGTATTAATATTACTACTTTAAAATTTTTGACATAATTTTGTAGGTGTTTGCTGAATTGAATCGAATTTTTCTAGCTGAGAGTTTATGTATCGTATTTCAATCTTCTTTCGAAGCTTATTTAGTATATTTTATCTTTCTTAAAGTTTTGTCATTTATATGTTGAGATGCAGCAAATTTTTCATTAATAGGTACGTAAATGGTAGTGATAATGACTTAAATTACTGGGGACTGGATTATCCACCTCTTACAGCTTATCACAGTTGGCTTCTCGGAACTTTGTGAGTTTATCCATACTTAAGTTTTTTTTTTTTCCTCCAGTTGTTGCAGTTATTATAATAACTAGATGGAAACTGAATCTAAATTTTTTTACATAAGTGTTACTGTGAAAAATAGTTCATCATTCTGATCGAAATTGAATCCAGAGCCTTTTTTATTCAAAACCAATTGATGAATGGGAATTTCAGGGGAAAAAAAATGAGAAAATATGTCATATAATCAGGAATTATTATTACAAAGCAGATGCGTAATTTTGCGATTTATGTTCTTTTTGGAATAATACTGGAATATTTATATGACTTTAAATGAAAGTTTTTATCTACATTTTCTTCTCCCTACTGGTATTTTATTAGTAGTTATAAAGTTATAAATGATAACTTTGCAGAGCGAACAAGCTGAATCGTTCATGGATTGAGCTACATATATCAAGGGGGATGGAGACAGAGACTCACAAAATCTTCATGCGATTTACTGTTGTAGCAACTTTTTGGATAGTTTATGTTTCTTCCTTATTACTTTCAACCGGTTTCTTTCGCAACACTTTATCTCAAAGAATGGTAAGCTTTATTTAAAACTTGTTTTTTTTTTTTTTCTTTTTTTTTAATGGCTCTTTTTTTTTTCTTTTCATAAATGTTGTCTATGATTGAAGTTCTGAATAATTTCTAGTAAAACTTCGAAGAAAAGAACGATGTTAAGACGTCATATTGCAGCTTAATTATTGTGCGATAGCTGTGCTTTATCCAGGATTGTTGGTAGTGGATAGTGGCCATTTTCAGTTGGTTTTGGACTCTTATTTGGATGTTTTGTGTTGCACTTTTTTTTGTTTAAATTTGATAATTCTTACTGTATAAAAAGCAAAGGTCATCCGAGAGTGACAGCTATTCACTGCCTTGAGTATGCTATGTTTATTTGCTGAATGAAGAAAATTCGCTTATCGCATTCTCCTAATTTTGATTTTAGATACAATCACGTGTCTCTTGGATTATTTCTCTTTTCATTTGCTTGCTTCGTTTCAAGTTTTTTAAAACTTGGTTCAATGTTTTTTGTATTATCATTAAGCTTCAAACAAATGGAGTTGTACCATGCCTTGCCGGTTGCCATTTATTTATTGTCAGAGTCATTTTCAAGTGATAATCGATTAAGCATGAGTCAGAGGTTTTTTTTTTTGTTAGTACAGCAGTCGACAAAAGTAAATGTAGTAACATACTTTTATTCATTAAACTAAAAGAATGTATCCTTTAGATATTTTTGTTGGGCAGAACAGCTGCTTATATTGTTTATTACTGTCATCGTCACAATTCTGTTCGTCTGTTTTCCTTTTCTTATCACCAGATCTGATTTGATGCAGATTTTATACAGGATTTTTCCATTTTACCGCGGCATTTTCGAGGTATAAAAATGATATTATTTTATTTAACATATTTTATTTCAGATGCTAAAAGTGTTATAAAGTAACATTTGTTTAGGATAAAGTGGCGAATTTTTGGTGTTCCATTAATGTATTTTACAAATTGAAGGATAATTTTGAAACAGTATTTTTGTTGCGCATAAGGTACCCATTCCTAATTTTTGCTTTTTTGAATTTTATTCTATTAGATTTTTTATTAGTAGTGATAATTGTATATTGCGACTGGTGGATTTAATGATTTACGAAACTTTTATTTTTAGCACCATAATGGTTCTTATAACGAATATTCCGTGGTCAGTGTGTTTATTTTGTCATCCAACTATGACGAACTTCAAATATTGTTTATTGGCATCCAGTTTATCTTTCTTTTTGTTTTCATTTCAAGTCCATGAAAAATCAATCCTTCTTGTAGCCCTGTATGTTTCTTCATTTTTTTTCTTTTTTTAGTTCCAATAATATTTTAGATCAATATCCAGATTATTTTACTTTGTGATAAGAAGAATAGTATCTTGTTGCAGACCTGCCATATTGTTGTGGAATGAGAATCCTGTGCTTGTGTCTTGGTTACTGATTATTTCAAATACAAGGTTGTATATTTTTGCTGTTGTTCTCACCCCTATTGAATTTGACAGCTTTTTTTAAGATACCATAAATTAACATTGAGAAACCATGTACTGATACATATATTGATACATTATAAAAGCTTTAATGCTTTATTATAGACTGCAAATTCGTAGTTGTAGGTGCGAAGTGATTAGCATTCTGGTAGCGTGAACCCAAGTTTTATTTTGCAGAAAAAAAAAGAATGAAGCTAGGCAATAAAATTTATTCCTAGCACTTTTTATTTACAATATCATTAACTTTTATATGCCTCGAATTTTCTAAGTTCCTTGTTCTCGATTGAATTAATAAGTGTTCCTACTGCCAGAGCCATTTACATTTGACGATGACAATCGTTAACTTCGAAAATAACTTTTTTTTTTGAATATAAAATCCATTTATTTTTATGCTCGCATTTGATTGGTAGGTTACAACAAAGTAGTTTTTTTCAGTCTCTATCCATTGTGCATCAAAGACGGCAATGCTATTCATTTGGCGTTATTTATTTTCTATTATATTATTACATATTCATCCTTTTCAAAACTTTCGATGTTTATGGTACTTTATATTTTCTATTAAAAGAACTTGACGCTTGCTTGAAATAATTCTAAAAGGTTACATCTTGCAAGGGTTTATTTGACTTCTAGCTGTCAGCACTATCATAACTACCTCAAATTCATTGCCACTTTTTTTATGTTTTGGGATTGTTGGAATGTATTTTTAGCAATTGGTTGTTCATGGAAGCTGTTTGGCATCGTTAGCACTTTGTTTGGCAAGTTTACTTTTTGCACCACCAGCACGATTTCCTCATATTTTTTCTCTTTTAATAGCGGTTTACTGTTTTCTTCATTTCATAACGTTTTTTCTGTATATTAACTTGGTTACATTGCGATTTAGATTTAAGAAGCTGGAAATTGTAGACTTATTTTTTACTTTAGTTCATGAATTGTAATGAGCTGTAATTTTTCTGTCCTTGTCAGTTGGAATTATAAAAAATTGGGACTATAAAATTCAAATTTGTGGCACTTATCGCCAGTATTCAGCCAATATTAGGCTTCAGCCGGTTTTCCAGTTGTAATAAACTGTCGTATTTCTTTAATGAAACCTAAAATACCTCTTTAATTTTACCAATTATATTAAAAGCTTTAATAAATTGCAGTATATATCTTTTTTTCATTATATTATCGAGAATAGTTTTATGAGCTTTGGTAGTATTTCGATTTGCCAGTAGTCATAATAATCATGATGTATGTCAGTTGCAGGGGAAAATTCGTTCTTTTGTTACTGACGTAAAAAATAACTTGAATGCTTAATCTTGAAACCTATGACATGATTTAAGATGGAAAACATAATCGAACCTATGATATGTTCGTGGGTCGAACAGTTTCATTTTTGCATGTCGAAAAGACAATACATGATGCAACATATTCTCTTGTTCATATTTCTCTTTCATCACTCATGATTATATATATATATATAAACATTCTACTGTGGATGTATGAAAAGTTTTCCAAGCTGAAAAGTTCAATACAGTTTACTAAAGTATAAATTGAACTGCAGCGCCTATAAATTTTGCAAGTCTTAACAAGATTACGGTTAGCGATCTCTTGCCTCAATGAATAAAGATACTTATTATAAAAAAGAAATAATTAGAATACAAAATCTGATTTTAAAGGGGCGATGCAGGACATCTGTTTAATTTGGAGAAAAAGTGGTAGGTAGCTGAAATGAAGCCTCTCGCTGAATGATTTTCTCCTTGCTATTATGAAGGGGTGATTAAAATATTGGAATAATCGAAGAGTCACACGAGACGAAGCTTCAAGACAGCAGCGCTATTTACATTTTTTGTGTCTTCTTTTCCAACTAAAACCAATTTTAAACACAAGCATTATACAAACTTTTTTAGACAGTTTTCGGACATTACTTACTTTGAAAAATTCATGTTCCTCTAAAATTAATTTAGGAAACGAAGTAGATATTTTCTCAAATACGTGAAAATAACGTTACGCAACCTGGAATAAGACTTGATATATCTGTAAAATATATCTGTTAATCTGCTTGACCATCATGTACAACTGTCTCCGAGCAATCATAGCTGCTTTGTGGGTGAACACGAGTGCGTAACTGCAGAAATCTCTTTAACTATGACTCCATCGTACCCTTTACACATTTTGTCGGACCACTTGTCAAAGCAAGTTTACAAATTGACTGAAGAAGTTTGCATAATGCTTGTATTTGAAATTGGTTCAGTTGAAACCCAGTACTATTATATAGCTGTTTAGAAAACTAAGGAAGACATAAGAAGTGTTCGGTGCGACTGAATGAAAGTGATTTGAAATGTTAATAATTGGTTCCATGCTGTTCGAAACAGTGCGACCTATCAGCTATTTTAATATTTTAATCTTTTTTATACTAAATGCCTTAAACAGATAACTTTTTCGCAAGGAATAAATTTTATTTTTGGTTCCAATATCAGAATAACCTTTTTCAAAATTGATTTGGAGTCTGTACTTCCGTTTTGGTTGTTATAAAATTATGATTTAAAATTCTGACACTTTTTGTTAGAATGATTGTTGTTATCATTTCATTATCGGTTCCTGGATAAGCTGGATAAAACTTTCAGTTAAAAAAAGGAAGGCGAATGAAGTGAAGGAGGTACTTCTTTACAGTGCATATAAAGTGCTGATTAAATTACTTTAGCTCAGGATATATGTATGACCAGGTGGATTTGTTTGTTTAAACATCAACACGGGGATTGACCTGTTTTTTGTTACAGGTCTGCTTATTGTATATCTTTTAGTGATACATAAAATTTTAGTGATAATAGATAATTAATTGCTATTTTGGTGTCGTAACCTTAATATATATACGGAGAATAAAGAAGATGCTTACTCCGTGAACTTTAATTATATTCTTTCTTCTGCTTTATTTGGCATTTTCTCATCGACTTCCTTCTTTCCATGTCAAACTGAAGTTTCTCTTCCTTTTCGGACTAATAGAAGGTATGCATATAAAAACTGGCATAAGAATAGATTGACACAATCTTTATTCCAATGCATTTTTGAAAACAAGTATTTAAAAAGTTCTGAATAATGGAATTTGGAACTTAAACTTCTGATTCTGAATTTCATTTAAATTTTTGCCATATTTTTAGGCATAAGTTATTGGATATGAAAAGATTAGGAGCATATTGTCGATTAAACGATTTTGTGAAGTTTTTCGAAATTTTTTTTTTTGTTGTCAGGATATTATTTATTTCTTATATCTGTTTCAATGATAAATTAGTTTATGAAGTTAATGAATGTAAGCTAGATTAAGCTTACATTCATTAACTTCATAAACTAATTTCACTCCTACGGACTATCTTATACTTTTTCACGCTATTCTTTTCAAAAAGCACTCTTCCATGCATTTTGTAGCCAATCCAAATCATTCATTTTAAACCTATATCGAACAGATGGCTAAAAAGAACATATATTATACAGAAGGAACTGCAGATTAGTCCTATGGTGCGGCATGATAATTGTCAAGTGTACTTATTATTGTTGCAGTTGACCTCTTCCATCGTAGTCATCGAACCGCAATAATGACTGATTTTACCAGATAATATGTAGATGATATAAGTGCATTCCCTTGAGAGAGAGCTAACCCTTTTGTTTACTTTTTTATAGTAACTTGGAATGGTAAATTTCAATGCAAACAGTTATATTCGAAATATGGTTGAACAATGTTTTATCAAATACTTCCGTAATATTTATGACATTTTACTGCGGTATTGAACTTTCTGACTAATCAATTTTTTTGTGACAACATCACCAATAATTGCTTGTTGAAATAATCGAGTATGGCAGCAGAAGTGAGCATTACTGAGATCATCTAATGAAGGATTGTTGACCTTATTCTTACACTGTTTTCCGGATTTGTTTCAGTCCTTGCCATATCAATACATTGTGTAACAGATGTCATTCGATTCCCGTAAAGAACAATTGTTAGATTTTTTTATTCAAATAGATTTGTTTTATTGGTGCATCGAAATTTTTGAAACGGAAAAAGATGGTAAAAATGAGCTGGTCCCTCATTCAGTTCCAGAACTATGAACAATTGTCGTCAATTGGTCTGCAATCCTTCATCAGATGATTGCTACCCCTCCCCTTCCGGCATCCTTTTATATTTATTAGCACATTAAGAACCGTTGCATCAATATCTTTCAATGAAAAAGCATCAGTCAGTACATATATAAGTATTCTGCTGACTTATAATTACGCAGGAAGCAATTGGTTGTTAATTTTGCCAAAAAAAAAATTTGATAAATAGTTTAACTTTGGAATGATTGGCTGTGTAAATATCAAATTCTTATTTAGATTGGAATTAGAATTTTAAATTTGAATAAAAAAGTTAGCAGTAAAAAATTTCGAGATTCAAAAGGAAAAATAAAATATTAAAAATGAATTGCTTGAGAGATAAGTCGGAAATTTGGAAAAAATCTCGAGACAGTAGAATTTGCGAGGCGATTTAGTTGAATATTTTTCTTTATATGACAAGTTAAAAAAAAACCTATTTCTATTCCAAAATGGTTTCAAAGTACCATATTAATGAAGTCCATAGAGCTGCGCAGATATTTTGTTTCTTCAAATAAATTATTGGATCTTTCTATCTCTTTCGGTTGTGGAAAGATCTCACAGAAATTTTGAGCACATTTTATTTTGATTTATTGTAATTGCAATATCAAAACACGTCTTTATTAAAGTTTATCAGTCTGTAGATGGTTAAAAACAATTATTATAATTTTTAAAAAATATGGAAAGGAATGGAACTGTAGTAGTAGTAGTTATCTCAAGTACGGTAACGGATCGTACTCCAGTTGACATGTGCGCTTCTATTCCTTCCATTCATCATGAAATACATTATGAGGATAGCTTAATTATTCCACACACTTTTTGTGAAAATTTTACTCGTTCTAGATGAAAATCTCCTGCTAATTATATTCATAAATAAAAATTAAATGTTGTTTTTGGACTAAATTTTACTCAATCTCAAAATTTTAAACACGCAATTCTCCTTACTGTGAAATAACTGTTATCGCACCACGAAGAAAGGCAGGAATCTTTTTGACAAAGTGATTAAGCTGCGTCAATTGAACTGCAGAATTAGCTTGATTTATTGATTCAGGAATAAGCGCCAAGTTTTAAAGAACGGAGACCAAAAAATTGAGTCATGAATATGTCTACAATAGTTGAAGCAGTTTAATAGAAAAAAATGAAAATTATCGGAAGAAGGTTGCTTTATATTCTAATAAAGTCAAAAACCCATTAATTTACAAGCATCACAGATTTAGATTTGAGGAGCACATTTTAAACGACATACTATTTCTGTTAGCATTTAATTTCTCAGTTTTTCAAAATTTGATAAATCCCTAATGCTGTTCGATAGTCAATGCGTAATTTTATTCTGATACAAAATTTAAGTGCTCAATGTGAAATTCGTTTATAGACAAAATCATTGAGATAAGCTTTGCAAATTACACATTCCCCTAAACGACAAACAATGTGGTGAGATATCACGCCGGGATAATTGATCTTTGGATGCTCTTCGCCAATCTTGGGAGCGAAAATGTCTCTTTCTTCCTTCATCTTTCTTTCCCTCTCAGCATTTTAAGTGACCGATAAATGAGTGGAAATCATAGACATGCTTTTATTTGCATCTTTTTTAATTTAATAGATTCTTGGCGGATCGTTTTGATAATTTAGACAAGTTCTAGTGACTTAAGCATCCAAATAAATGATCAAATAATTGAAATATTTTCTTTCTTTTCATTAACCTAGTACTATCAGTAGTCAGAATTTTGATATCCTTCATGAGTGCTCTTTTTAATATTTTAGCTATGAGATTCTTTATTTCATTTCTAGAACCTACGGAAAAGCTTTTTTTAGAGTAACTACAAATAAACATTGA